AATAACTAATTTAATCCCTTAAATAATTGAGTTCAAAACCCTGTTTTTTAAAAGTATTTTTGTTCTTTAACCCCCCCCCCCCCTCTCTCTCTCTTCCTCTCTTTGCGACAAAAATAATATTTTTGGGTGGTCCATGCCCTCATCAGTAAATATTATAACGTACACAGACAGCGTTAGAGCCATAGCCGACAGAAAGTAAAGCTTTATAATGCATTAAACTTTTCAATCGGCATCATTGTAGATCTATATGGGCGCATTTTGTTTGAAAATTAAAGCTTTTATAATCGAATAACTTGCTTTATACATTCATTTCAGAGTAATTTTTTTTTCTATTTCAGTACGCAATTTAAAAGTACACATACTGCAGATTTTCTTATCTCTTGATTCTGACAAATAAATAAATATACATACTTGTAAACATTGCTGAGTTTTAGTCCTAAGCCTATATAGACCGATATTTATAGACTTAACTTGAACCCCCCCCCCCCCCCTTGCCCCCGTCAGTATTTCTGACCCTACCCAAATTATTGATGTCTTCTGTCAAACTCTCTTAGGCTTCTAGAAGTGCAGATTTGTATCTAAGGTGACTGACTTGGTATTCCGGCACTGACGGTTCCATTAAATCAGCTTCTGAACCTTTGTCAAACTGACAGCCACAAAACACATGGCACAGTCTTCACAATCTTACGTCGCATTTGTCCACAGTCACACGATCACAACCCACATCAATAAAACTTTTGATGTACCATTGTCCTCCCTCCCCCCCCCCCACTCTATAGACATGACGAAGTAGTTTGTCCTGCTTGTCTACTACTTAAGCTTGAAGTCCTCACTTGACGTCTTGTATTGCTTGTCACACTTGTCAACATACACTCTTTGGTCTCGTGCCGTCCTCGTCTTCCCGCTAGTCTGGCATCAAGACGCCATCTTATGTGTACACGAGTAGGTTTAGTAGTTGGCACCATGAGATAGGTCTGGCCTGTAAACCAAGACTTACCTGAGCACCTGTTGAAGGACAAGTCCGATAACCCGTTAGTCCTGTTTAATGATCCAGGAACACTAACCCACTTATTGACACTACCCACCTTTTGTGTCAGTGACCTACAGTAGTGACTTCGTCCACCACCCTCCCTACCATGACTATACAGTACATTCAGTCCACACCTCCTCCACACCCTAGATGATACCCAGTCCCCACCCTCCCTACCTACCCTGACTACATAATACCCCTCACATAACGGGCTGGATGTGTGGAATATTAAACTTTGTTTCGCTGTTGTTGGCCCAGCTTCTCTGTCATATTTAACTTATCTGCTACAATACTACACATTTTCACCGGTACAATATGCAGTAATCAGGGCCAAGAGGTCATACATGCAAACGTAAATCTACATGTATATCTATGTATCTATATATATATATATATATATATATATATATATATATATATATATATATATATATATATATATATATATATATATATATACAAATCACGTCTGCGTTGTAGAGTTGAATCCTTTTCCGCCCCCCCCCCCCCCCCAGGTTCCGTATAGTGACAAAAGTGATCCCGTTAACAGACACATGCCAGTCGAAGGTGACAGGTGTTTTCTAATGGTAGATGGCGGTTCACGTCACTACCCACTAGACTTGACTATACCATGTGTCCCTCTGTTAGCCCTTATTCTCTACCCACTAGACCAACTGCCCCCTCTATGTTAGCCCTATTTCTCTACCCACTAGACCAACTGCCCCCTCTGTTAGCCCTATTTCTCTACCCACTAGACCAACTGCCCCCTCTATGTTAGCCCTATTTCTCTACCCACTAGACCAGTGGCCGTCTCTATGTTAGCCCTATTTCTCTATCCACTAGACCAACTGACCCCTCTATGTTAGCCCTATTTCTCTATCCACAAGACGAGCTGTTGGTTATTTAGGTTACAAATGAAATATTTGGTTTTCTGATGAACACTGAATTACATTTAAGAAATACAATGTGTTTCAAGCGTCCAACTGCCGTCAAACAAAATTGTTGGCTGTTGTGATAGTGTGGTGTTACAAAATTTGTTGGCCGTTGTGATAGTGTGGTGTTACAAAATTGTTGGCTGTTGTGATAGTGTGGTGTTACAAAATTGTTGGCTGTTGTGATAGTGTGGTAGTGTTACAAAATTGTTGGCTGTTGTGATAGTGTGGTAGTGTTACAAAATTGTTGGCTGTTGTGATAGGTGTTACAAAATTGTTGGCTGTTGTTATAGTGTGGTAGTGTTACAAAATTGTTGGCTGTTGTGATAGTGTTGTGTTACAAAATTGTTGGCTGTTGTGATAGTGTTGTGTTACACAAACGTGTTGGCTGTTGTGATAGTGTGGTGTTACAAAATAGTTGGCTGTTGTGATAGTGTTGTGTTACACAAACGTGTTGGCTGTTGTGATAGTGTGGTGTAAAACTTGTTGGCTGTTGTGATAGTGTGGTGTTACAAAACTTGTTGGCTGTTGTGATAGTGTGGTGTTACAAAATTGTTGGCTGTTGTGATAGTGTGGTGTTACAAAATTGTTGGCTGTTGTGATAGTGTGGTGTTACAAAATTGTTGGCTGTTGTGATAGTGTGGTGTTACAAAATTGTTGGCTGTTGTGATAGTGTGGTGTTACAAAATTGTTGGCTGTTGTGATAGTGTGGTGTTACAAAATTGTTGGCTGTTGTGATAGTGTGGTGTTACAAAACTTGTTGGCTGTTGTGATAGTGTGGTGTTACAAAATTGTTGGCTGTTGTGATAGTGTGGTGTTACAAAATTGTTGGCTGTTGTGATAGTGTGGTGTTACAAAATTGTTGGCTGTTGTGATAGTGTGGTGTTACAAAATTGTTGGCTGTTGTGATAGTGTGGTGTTACAAAATTGTTGGCTGTTGTGATAGTGTGGTGTTACAAAATTGTTGGCTGTTGTGATAGTGTGGTGTTACAAAATTGTTGGCTGTTGTGATAGTGTGGTGTTACAAAATTGTTGGCTGTTGTGATAGTGTGGTGTTACAAAATTGTTGGCTGTTGTGATAGTGTGGTGTTACAAAATTTGTCGGCTGTTGTGATAGTGTGGTGTTACAAAATTTGTCGGCTGTTGTGATAGTGTGGTGTTACACAAACGTGTCGGCTCTTGTGGTAGTGTGGTCGTGTTACAGAGTCCAAGAGCGGTAGGAACCAGGTGGTTGTCGCGTAGTGTTAAAACTTGTGACCTGCTGCACATCAGGCGAGACATTCGGTGCCATGTGGAGTGGTGGGTTCGGATCCCGCCTGGATAAAACGACTCTTCTCTAGGACTATCACGTATTTGGGTCTACCTTTCTCTAGGACTATCACGTATTTGGGTCTACCTTTCTATAGGACTATCACGTATTTGGGTCTACCTTTCTCTAGGACTATCACGTATTTGGGTCTACCTTTCTCTAGGACTATCACGTATTTGGGTCTACCTTTCTCTAGGACTATCACGTATTTGGGTCTACCTTTGGCATTGAAAGAATACGTTATATGTACACTGCCGTTTTAAGTCGGACTAACGGTTAGGGAAACGTGAATTCCAAGCACAATTTCAGCTCTTAAGCCTACTGTGCTTGTGATATCATATTAAATTTTATGATTTAAAAGTTGGACAAGTTTTAAAATTGATGTGTTCGAAAAGTTTTTTTATCCTTTAAAATCATATGCCGGAATAGCTTTGATATCAGTAACGTCACAAGTCGAGAGGGGGGGGGGGTACGGCCCCAAGCTAGTTCCCTCACTGTTTGATTTCGCCTTTAGGCCAAGTAATATAAGCAGCGTTTAATGTTTAAAATGACATCATGCACGCCTGTCGACCTAATTTTCTTCAACCTATTTCTACACTTTCGGTAGTAATTATCGTGACAGACGGCTTGGTTGTCTGCCCCTGTCCTTTAACGTTCTTGGCACATCGACAGACGTCTGCTAAACAAAGCTGTCTTTGATGAAATGTCCCATCAATGATGATATTGTTGGCCCAACAAACAAAGCAACAAAGATGTTTTGATGGACCGTGTGACCAAACACAGAGGGTTGCAAACTTCTCGGCTGGTTGTCAACATTAGGTGGATGGTTGACAGCAGGGGTTGGCATGGTTGTTGTGTGGAGTAGTAAGCTGCAGACACGGTTGTCAGCAATTTACATCACTCTCCCCCATTGCGTACGTACTGAACCTTTTTACTCCATGTGGCACATAGGACCTTGGCCATAACCTTCCATTTTGTTCTGTCCCCGACTTTGATTTTGCAGCCTCCCAAGACATCTCTTCTGTCTTCAATTCTTTAAGAATAATCGGCCTCCAGGTCTGCCTTGGCCGCCCCTCCCCTCATTGTTTGCTCGTGTATATTTTAGATAAATAAATATTTAGCTAGCAAAGGAAAGCCTTTCGAATGCCAGGCATAAAACAACACGTTTAAATTATCAAATTTTCCCCGTCTCTAACTCTACGGGGAACAACCTTAGAAATACCGAAAGCAGAACAGGCCAAGAATGGCGACAGACTGGGGGAGAAGGGAATCAAATAAAAGGATTTTTCAAATTATGAAGATAAAGTTGTTTATAAGCCAGATTTTCTTAGCCGCTGTTCGTTTAGTGTGTGCTGCATGTAAATTTATAGCGTTATGTCAAAAATTGGTGAAGAGTTTTTCGCGAAGTCTTCACCACTACATCATCATCAATACCACTTCATCAATATCACCACAACCCCAGCAACATCACAGTCACAACAGTAACATCCCCATCGCTGGGTTACCGTCAGTACATGACGCCAGCAACATCACCATCGTCAGATCACCATCACTACTTGACCATCACTACAGCAACATCACAACCACCACATCACCAACACTACATGACCACAGCAACATCACCATCGCCACAGCAACATCGCCATCGTTAGATCACCAACACTACATGACCATCACCACATCAGTATGGCGACAGCAGCACTAACCTGTACACCTTGTAACCTGACAGTTCAGAAAACTGGGTCTACTTCCACCTGAGGAAAACCTGCCGGTCAGCTGCCGGATGACGTATCAACAGATCTGGGCAAACAATGGTGACGTCATCAGCCAACAGTATGCCGGGACAGCTGCCCTCAAGGTCAGTCCCAAATTGATTGGGTTTTGTTCATTAATTTTTTTCATTGGTGTATAATTCAACTGCTAGCTCTATTACTAAACAAAATAGTAATGGAGCGCTTAATCTTGTCATAACAGTCAAACCACAGCAGCACACCACAGTACAACCATACCACAACTACTCTACACAACTACACACAACAGAATAACCACAACTACAACCACAACAACACCAGGACTTTTCAAGTGAATAAACCCTAGCAGGTAGTATGTAATCAAATAAATAAACCCCACCTGGTGTAATCAAGTGAATAAACCCCACCTGGTAGTATGTAATCAAATGAATAAACCCCACCTGGTGTAATCAAGTGAATAAACCCCACCTGGTGTAATCAAATGAATAAACCCCACCTGGTAGTATGTAATCAAATGAATAAACCCCACCTGGTGTAATCAAGTGAATAAACCCCACCTGGTGAAATCAAGTGAATAAACCCCACCTGGTAGTATGTAATCAAATGAATAAACCCCACCTGGTGTAATCAAGTGAATAAACCCCACCTGGTGTAATCAAGTGAATAAACCCCACCTGGTGTAATCAAATGAATAAACCCCACCTGGTGTAATCAAGTGAATAAACCCCACCTGGTGTAATCAAGTGAATAAACCCCACCTGGTGTAATCAAGTGAATAAACCCCACCTGGTGTAATCAAGTGAATAAATCCCACCTGGTGTAATCACGTGAATAAACCCCACCTGGTGTAATCAAGTGAATAAACCCCACCTGGTAGTATGTAATCAAATGAATAAACCCCACCTGGTGTAATCAAGTGAATAAACCCCACCTGGTGTAATCAAGTGAATAAATCCCACCTGGTGTAATCACGTGAATAAACCCCACTTGGTAGTATGTAATAAAGTGAATAAACCCCACCTGGTGTAATCAAGTGAATAAACCCCACTTGGTAGTATGTAATCAAATGAATAAACCCCACCTGGTGTAATCAAGTGAATAAACCCCACCTGGTGTAATCAAGTGAATAAACCCCACCTGGTGTAATCAAATGAATAAACCCCACCTGGTGTAATCAAGTGAATAAACCCCACCTGGTAGTATGTAATCAAGTGAATAAACCCCACTTGGTAGTATGTAATCAAGTGAATAAACCCCACTTGGTAGTATGTAATCAAGTGAATAAACCCCACCAGGTGGTATGTAATCAAATGAATAAACCCCACCTGGTGTAATCAAGTGAATAAACCCCACCTGGTGTAATCAAGTGAATAAACCCCACCAGGTGGTATGTAATCAAATGAATAAACCCCACCTGGTGTAATCAAGTGAATAAACCCCACCAGGTGGTATGTAATCAAATGAATAAACCCCACCTGGTGTAATCAAATGAATAAACCCCACCTGGTGTAATCAAGTGAATAAACCCCACCTGGTGTAATCAAGTGAATAAACCCCACCAGGTAGTATGTAATCAAAAGATTACATAACCATCTAGGGTTGGTTTTATGAAGAAAGACAAGACGTCGTGACGTCACAGACTAAGCCGTTATAAAATTTTGCGTACGATCACATAACAAAGAAAAACATCTTGGTGTCAAATGACAATCTTTCTTTGTTTTTTGTTTGGTTGACATTTGCACGGCGATCATAATTTTAAAAAGGACGGAATAGGTTCTTGCTAGAAATAGTTGGAATAAATGTAGAGATTCAAGTTACAAGACATACGTCGTAACATAGAGTTTAATGATGTTAAGTATCTAATTTCTGAAAACACAAAATCTTATGTTTATAAGCATTACTTTTAAAATTTGGTTTCTGGTACAATTTTTCTTCAATTTATTGAGTTTTTTCTTACAAAACAGTTTGAAAGATTATGATAGTGACCACTAAAACGGTACAACTTTCTCCTACAGCCATACATCATGAATTGTGTACAACTTTCTCCCACAGCCATACATCGTGAATTGTGTACAACTTTCTCCCACAGCCATACATCGTGAATTGTGTACAACTTTCTCTCACAGCCATACATCGTGAATTGTGTACAACTTTCTCTCACAGCCTTACATCGTGAATTGTGTACAACTTTCTCCCACAGCCATACATCGTGAATTGTGTACAACTTTCTACCACAGCCATACATCGTGAATTGTGTACAACTTTCTACCACAGCCATACATCGTGAATTGTGTACAACTTTCTACCACAGCCATACATCGTGAATTGTGTACAACTTTCTCTCACAGCCATACATCGTGAATTGTGTACAACTTTCTACCACAGCCATACATCGTGAATTGTGTAAAACTTTCACAACCATACATCGTGAATTGTGTACAACTTTCTCCCACAGCCATACATCGTGAATTGTGTACAACTTTCTCTCACAGCCATACATCGTGAATTGTGTACAACTTTCTCTCACAGCCTTACATCGTGAATTGTGTACAACTTTCTCCCACAGCCATACATCGTGAATTGTGTACAACTTTCTACCACAGCCATACATCGTGAATTGTGTACAACTTTCTACCACAGCCATACATCGTGAATTGTGTACAACTTTCTCCCACAGCCATACATCGTGAATTGTGTACAACTTTCTACCACAGCCATACATCGTGAATTGTGTACAACTTTCTACCACAGCCATACATCGTGAATTGTGTACAACTTTCTCTCACAGCCATACATCGTGAATTGTGTACAACTTTCTACCACAGCCATACATCGTGAATTGTGTAAAACTTTCACAACCATACATCGTGAATTGTGTACAACTTTCTCTCACAGCCATACATCGTGAATTGTGTACAACTTTCTACCACAGCCATACATCGTGAATTGTGTAAAACTTTCACAACCATACATCGTGAATTGTGTAAAACTTTCACAACCATACATCGTGAATTGTGTACAACTTTCTCCCATAGCCATACATCGTGAATTGTGTACAACTTTCTCACACAGCCATACATCGTGAATTGTGTACAGCTTTCTCACACAGCCATACATCGTGAATTGTGTACACAATTAAACAACACACCACGACACACTAAGGAATCAAGCACATCTGATAAAACACAAACATACGCCATCTTGGCCCAGTACATTTATTAATATAACCTTATATACAATTGAAATCTCCATAGACCTCTCGAATTGTACATTTCTTGGACAACACCCCCCCCCCCCCCCCGAAACACACAGACACACACACACCTCTACCTCACAATTCGGTACTAAATAACAAATGTTACGAATTTTATAATGAACTTGTGTTTAATTTATGTCTGTTTGTGGGTTTGTGGCCAACTTTGACCTACTTCTAATGCAGCGATTTTGTTCAATCTTTGACGACAATCCAGGAATGTCTAATTCAAAGATAACTGTAATAAATAAATAAAAGGGAGATAACACAATTGATTTCAAGCACTTACTCAATCAGCCCATTTACAACCGCGAACTGTTTGTCACGGACGACTGGTTTCCGCGGGCGTTAAAAAGGGGCAAGTAATTGTCTTCCAGAGATCGCTAGCTACTGATCGGATTTTAAAGCAAATATTTTTAGTCGTATGTGGTGTCGATTTCAAAAATAGCGAATTATTATAAAAGCAAAAAATAAAAGGATTTTTCAAATTATGAAGATGAGGTTGTTTATAAGCCAGATTTTCTTAGCCGCTGTTCGTTTAGTGTGCGCTGCATGTAAATTTATAGCGTTATGTCAAAAATTGGTGAAGAGTTTTTCGCGAAGTCTTCACCACTACATCATCATCAATACTGTCTTGTGTCTCACACCCCAGGACCTCTAACACCCCAGGACCTGTCTTGTGTCTCACACCCCAGGACCTGTCTTGTGTCTCACACCCCAGGACCTCTAACACCCCAGGACCTGTCTTGTGTCTCACACCCCAGGACCTCTAACACCCCAGGACCTGTCTTGTGTCTCACACCCCAGGACCTGTCTTGTGTCTCACACCCCAGGACCTCTAACACCCCAGGACCTGTCTTGTGTCTCACACCCCAGGACCTGTCTTGTGTCTCACACTCCAGGACCTCTAACACCCCAGGACCTCTAACACCCCAGGACCTCTAACACCCCAGGACCTGTCTTGTGTCTCACACCCCAGGACCTCTAACACCCCAGGACCTGTCTTGTGTCTCACACCCCAGGACCTCTAACACCCAGGACCTGTCTTGTGTCTCACACCCCAGGACCTGTCTTGTGTCTCACACCCCAGGACCTGTCTCACACCCCAGGACCTGTCTTGAGTCTCACACCCCAGGACCTCTAACACCCCAGGACCTGTCTTGTGTCTCACACTCCAGGACCTCTAACACCCCAGGACCTCTAACACCCCAGGACCTCTAACACCCCAGGACCTGTCTTGTGTCTCACACCCCAGGACCTCTAACACCCCAGGACCTGTCTTGTGTCTCACACCCCAGGACCTCTAACACCCAGGACCTGTCTTGTGTCTCACACCCCAGGACCTGTCTTGTGTCTCACACCCCAGGACCTGTCTCACACCCCAGGACCTGTCTTGAGTCTCACACCCCAGGACCTCTAACACCCCAGGACCTGTCTTGTGTCTCACACCCCAGGACCTGTCTTGTGTCTCACACCCCAGGACCTCTAACACCCAGGACCTGTCTTGTGTCTCACACCTCAGGACCTGTCTTGTGTCTCACACCCCAGGACCTCTAACACCCCAGGACCTGTCTTGAGTCTCACACCCCAGGACCTCTAACACCCCAGGACCTGTCTTGTGTCTCACACTCCAGGACCTCTAACACTCCAGGACCTTCTTTTGTCTCACACCCCAGGACCTCTAACACTCCAGGACCTGTCTTGTGTCTCACACCCCAGGACCTGTCTTGTGTCTCACACCCCAGGACCTGTCTTGTGTCTCACACCCCAGGACCTGTCTTGTGTCTCACACTCCAGGACCTCTAACACCCCTGGACCTCTAACACCCCAGGACCTCTAACACCCAGGACCTGTCTTGTGTCTCACACCCCAGGACCTGTCTTGTGTCTCACACCCCAGGACCTGTCTTGTGTCTCACACCCCAGGACCTCTAACACCCCAGGACCTGTCTTGTGTCTCACACCCCAGGACCTGTCTTGTGTCTCACACTCCAGGACCTCTAACACCCCAGGACCTCTAACACCCCAGGACCTGTCTTGTGTCTCACACCCCAGGACCTGTCTTGTGTCTCACACCCCAGGACCTGTCTTGTGTCTCACACCCCAGGACCTCTAACACCCCAGGACCTGTCTTGTGTCTCACACCTCAGGACCTGTCTTGTGTCTCACACCCCAGGACCTGTCTTGTGTCTCACACCCCAGGACCTCTAACACCCCAGGACCTGTCTTGTGTCTCACACCCCAGGACCTGTCTTGTGTCTCACACCCCAGGACCTGTCTCACACCCCAGGACCTGTCTTGAGTCTCACACCCCAGGACCTCTAACACCCCAGGACCTGTCTTGTGTCTCACACCCCAGGACCTGTCTTGTGTCTCACACCCCAGGACCTCTAACACCCCAGGACCTGTCTTGAGTCTCACACCCCAGGACCTCTAACACCCCAGGACCTGTCTTGTGTCTCACACCCCAGTACCTGTCTTGTGTCTCACACTCCAGGACCTCTAACACTCCAGGACCTGTCTTTTGTCTCACACCCCAGGACCTCTAACACCCCAGGACCTGTCTTGTGTCTCACACCCCAGTACCTGTCTTGTGTCTCACACTCCAGGACCTCTAACACTCCAGGACCTGTCTTTTGTCTCACACTCCAGGACCTCTAACACTCCAGGACCTGTCTTGTGTCTCACACCCAATACCTCTAACACTCCAGGACCTGTCTTGTGTCTCACACCCCAGGACCTGTCTTGTGTCTCACACCCCAGGATCTGTCTTGTGTCTCACACCCCAGGACCTCTAACACCCCAGGACCTGTCTTGTGTCTCACACCCCAGGACCTCTAACACTCCAGGACCTGTCTTGTGTTTCACACCCCAGGACCTCTAACACTCCAGGACCTGTCTTGTGTCTCACACCCCAGGACCTGTCTTGTGTCTCACACCCCAGGACCTGTCTTGTGTCTCACACCCCAGGACCTGTCTTGTGTCTCACACCCCAGGACCTCTAACACCCCAGGACCTGTCTTGTGTCTCACACCCCAGGACCTGTCTTGTGTCTCACACCCCAGGACCTCTAACACCCCAGGACCTGTCTTGTGTCTCACACCCCAGGACCTCTAACACTCCAGGACCTGTCTTGTGTCTCACACCCCAGGACCTGTCTTGTGTCTCACACCCCAGGACCTCTAACACCCCAGGACCTGTCTTGTGTCTCACACCCCAGGACCTGTCTTGTGTCTCACACCCCAGGACCTGTCTTGTGTCTCACACCCCAGGACCTGTCTTGTGTCTCACACCCCAGGACCTGTCTTGTGTCTCACACCCCAGGACCTGTCTTGTGTCTCACACCCCAGGACCTGTCTTGTGTCTCACACCCCAGGACCTCTAACACCCCAGGACCTGTCTTGTGTCTAATACCTAGGACCTCGCTAACCCCGTGCCTGTTTGTTGTTGTAGGGTGACTTCACCAGGACAGGGGAGAGAAAACTGACTGGCCTTATGAAAGATGGCGTCAACTCTGCTAACAGGTAACGTTACGTCCTTGCTTTAATTTTATTTTACAGCATTTTATACAAAGAAAGAATCATGAACGTTTAATTTTTAAAAATAATAATCAAAGGGACATAACTTCATAATTACTTGATGTTTTTAAGAAATTACAGGTTTACTTCCCCTTAACTTTTTATTCATTTTGTTGAGATTTTGAGAAGGGAATTATTTTCTTTTAAAATTGCTATATCATTTTCACTACTAAACAAATTTATGTTTTTGTTTGACATAAGCAACTTTTTACAATATAATTTCTGGTTGAACTGATTTTTGCAGATATTACCTGAGGTTCCGTGATGCTTATAGACAAGCTGCCATAGACCTGACCCTTGGTCAGCCTGTCTCAGAGTCTCTGATGGTGCCATCAGTGGAGGGAGACGACACAGACGGCAGCGAGGCCTCAGAGAAGGAGGAGAATGTCAAGATGATACTGGAGGACTGCAAGAGGATGCTGATAGTGGAGCCGGAGCAGTGCATTGGTGGATGGGCACTGGTCAATGCTGACCCCATGTAAGTTCTAGCCAAGTCTGACCCCATGTAAGTTCTAGCCAAGTCTGACCCCATGTAAGTTCTTGCCAAGTCTGACCCCATGTAAGTTCTAGCCAAGTCTTACCCCATGTATGTTCTAGCCAAGGCTGACCCCATGTAAGTTCAAGCAAAGTCTAACCCCATGTAAGTTCAAACCAAGGCTGACCCCATGTAAGTTCTAGTCCAGTCTGACCCCATGTAAGTTCTAGTCCAGTCTGACCCCATGTAAGTTCTAGTCCAGTCTGACCCCATGTAAGTTCTAGTCCAGTCTGACCCCATGTAAGTTCTAGCCAAGGCTGACCCCATGTAAGTTCAAGCAAAGTCTAACCCCATGTAAGTTCTAGCCAAGGCTGACCCCATGTAAGTTCTAGTCAAGGCTGACCCCATGTAAGTTCTAGTCCAGTCTGACCCCATGTAAGCTCTAGTCCAGTCTGACCCCATGTAAGTTCTAGTCAAGGCTGACCCCATGTAAGTTCTAGTCCAGTCTAACCCCATGTAAGTTCTATTCCAGTCTGACCCCATGTAAGTTCTAGTCAAGGCTGACCCCATGTAAGTTCTAGTCCAGTCTGACCCCATGTAAGTTCTAGTCCAGTCTGACCCCATGTAAGTTCTAGTCAAGGCTGACCCCATGTAAGTTCTAGTCCAGGCTGACCCCATGTAAGTTCTAGTCCATTATCCTAGTCTATTTTCCTATTTGACCACTGGGCATTGCTGACCAAATACAAGTAATTGTCCTGTATCTTAGTGTATAAAGGCACTGGTCAACACTACCACTGTATTGGTCCAGTATCCTGTGATAAATACATGTGTGCTACAGTGTTTAACCCATGTGTGTGTGCTACTGTGTTTAACCCATGTGTTTGTGTGCTACAGTGTTTAACTCATGTGTTTGTGTGCTACAGTGTTTATCCCATGTGTTTGTGTGCTACTGTGTTTAACCCATGTGTTTGTGTGCTACTGTGTTTAACCCATGTGTTTGCTACCGTGTTTATCCCATGTGTTTGTGTGGTACTGTGTTAAACCCATGTGTTTGTGTGCTACAGTGTTTAACCCATGTGTTTGTATGCTACTTTGTTAAACCCATGTGTTTGTGTGCTACTGTGTTAAACCCATGTGTTTGTATGCTACTGTGTTAAACCCATGTGTTTGTGTGCTACTGTGTTTAACCCATGTGTTTGTGTCCTACAGTGAAGGGGACAGTGACCAGCAGGACATGGACATTGTCCTACTCCTCAGCCAGAGGTCCGTCTATGTCGCCTGGTACGATGATGAAGCTGAGCAGGTCACCAAGTACCAGAGGATTTTTCTAGAGGATGTGGAGAAAATTGAGATAGGTATGTGCTACATTTTTCTAGAAGATGTGAAGAAAATTGAGATAGGTATGTGCTACATTTTTCTAGAAGATGTGAAGAAAATTGAGATAGGTATGTGCTACATTTTTCTAGAGGATGTGGAGAAAATTGAGATAGGTATGTGCCACACTTTTCTAGAAGATGTGGAGAAAATTGAGATGGGTATGTGCCAACCATAGGGGAGCGCCATAAAGGGTAAGAAAAAATTTAAAAGCTCATATTAAGCTGCAGTTTTGAATTATAAACATTCAAAGTTAACAAATTTAACGTCTACGAGCCTTTGCATACTGATTTATCTGTTTAATCCCCCCCACCTGTCTGTATGTACTGTAACCCCTGCTTGTCTGGTCCAGGCATGGAACCAGCTGTCTTCAAGTCCAAGTTCCCCTGTCTGAGACTCATCTATCCCCCCCCCACCTGTCTGTACTGTAACCCCTACTTGTATGACCCAGGCATGGAACCAGCTGTCTTCAAGTCCAAGTTCCCCTGTCTGAGACTCATCTACCCCCCCCCCACCTGTATGTACTGTAACCCCTACTTGTATGACCCAGGCATGGAACCAGCTGTCTTCAAGTCCAAGTTCCCCTGTCTGAGACTCATCTACCCCCCCCCCCACCTGTATGTACTGTAACCCCTACTTGTATGACCCAGGCATGGAACCAGCTGTCTTCAAGTCCAAGTTCCCCTGTCTGAGACTCATCTACCCCCCCCCCCCCCACCTGTATGTACTGTAAGCCCTACTTGTATGACCCAGGCATGGAACCAGCTGTCTTCAAGTCCAAGTTCCCCTGTCTGAGACTCATCTACCCCCCCCCCCACCTGTCTGTATGTACTGTAACCCCTACTTGTATGACCCAGGCATGGAACCAGCTGTCTTCAAGTCCAAGTTCCCCTGTCTGAGACTCAGCTACCCCCCCCCCCCATCTGTATGTACTGTAAACCCTACTTGTATGACCCAGGCATGGAACCAGCTGTCTTCAAGTCCAAGTTCCCTTGTCTGAGACTCATCTACCCCCCCCCCACCTGTATGTACTGTAACCCCTGCTTGTATGACCCAGGCATGGAACCAGCTGTCTTCAAGTCCAAGTTCCCCTGTCTGAGACTCATCTACCCCCCCCCCCCACCTGTATGTACTGTAACCCCTACTTGTATGACCCAGGCATGGAACCAGCTGTCTTCAAGTCCAAGTTCCCCTGTCTGAGACTCATCTACCCCCCCCCCCCCCATCTGTATGTACTATAACCCCTGCTTGTATGACCCAGGCATGGAATCAGCTGTCTTCAAGTCCAAGTTCCCCTGTCTGAGACTCATCTACCCCCCCCCCAACCTGTCTGTACTGTAACCCCTACTTGTATGACCCAGGCATGGAACCAGCTGTCTTCAAGTCCAAGTTCCCCTGTCTGAGACTCATCTACCCCCCCCCCCCATCTGTATGTACTGTAACCCCTGCTTGTATGACCCAGGCATGGAACCAGCTGTCTTCAAGTCCAAGTTCCCCTGTCTGAGACTCATCTACCCCCCCCCACCTGTATGTACTGTAACCCCTACTTGTATGACCCAGGCATGGAACCAGCTGTCTTCAAGTCCAAGTTCCCCTGTCTGAGACTCATCTATCCCCCCCCCCCACCTGTATGTACTGTAACCCCTACTTGTATGACCCAGGCATGGAACCAGCTGTCTTCAAGTCCAAGTTCCCCTGTCTGAGACTCATCTATCCCCCCCCCCACCTATATGTACTGTAACCCCTGCTTGTATGACCCAGGCATGGAACCAGCTGTCTTCAAGTCCAAGTTCCCCTGTCTGAGACTCATCTACCCCCCCCCACCTGTCTGTATGTACTGTAACCCCTACTTGTATGACCCAGGCATGGAACCAGCTGTCTTCAAGTCCAAGTTCCCCTGTCTGAGACTCAGCTACCCCCCCCCCATCTGTATGTACTGTAAACCCTACTTGTATGACCCAGGCATGGAACCAGCTGTCTTCAAGTCCAAGTTCCCCTGTCTGAGACTCATCTACCCCCCCCCCCACCTGTATGTACTGTAACCCCTGCTTGTATGACCCAGGCATGGGACCAGCTGTCTTCAAGTCCAAGTTCCCCTGTCTGAGACTCATCTACCCCCCCCCCCCCCCCACCTGTATGTACTGTAACCCCTACTTGTATGACCCAGGCATGGAACCAGCTGTCTTCAAGTCCAAGTTCCCCTGTCTGAGACTCATCTACCCCCCCCCCATCTGTATGTACTATAACCCCTGCTTGTATGACCCAGGCATGGAACCAGCTGTCTTCAAGTCCAAGTTCCCCTGTCTGAGACTCATCTACCCCCCCCCCCCACCTGTCTGTACTGTAACCCCTACTTGTATGACCCAGGCATGGAACCAGCTGTCTTCAAGTCCAAGTTCCCCTGTCTGAGGCTCATCTACCCCCCCCCCCCCCATCTGTATGTACTGTAACCCCTGCTTGTATGACCCAGGCATGGAACCAGCTGTCTTCAAGTCCAAGTTCCCCTGTCTGAGACTCATCTATCCCCCCCCCACCTGTATGTACTGTAACCCCTACTTGTATGACCCAGGCATGGAACCAGCTGTCTTCAAGTCCAAGTTCCCCTGTCTGAGACTCATCTATCCCCCCCCCCCACCTGTATGTACTGTAACCCCTACTTGTATGACCCAGGCATGGAACCAGCTGTCTTCAAGTCCAAGTTCCCCTGTCTGAGACTCATCTATCCCCCCCCCACCTATATGTACTGTAACCCCTGCTTGTATGACCCAGGCATGGAACCAGCTGTCTTCAAGTCCAAGTTCCCCTGTCTGAGACTCATCTACCCCCCCCCCACCTGTATGTACTGTAACCCCTACTTGTATGACCCAGGCATGGAACCAGCTGTCTTCAAGTCCAAGTTCCCCTGTCTGAGACTCATCTACCCCCCCCCCCCCCCACCTATATGTACTGTAACCCCTACTTGTATGACCCAGGCATGGAACCAGCTGTCTTCAAGTCCAAGTTCCCCTGTCTGAGACTCATCTACCCCCCCCCCCCACCTGTATGTACTGTAACCCCTGCTTGTATGACCCAGGCATGGAACCAGCTGTCTTCAAGTCCAAGTTCCCCTGTCTGAGACTCATCTACCCCCCCCCCCCCACCTGTATGTACTGTAACCCCTACTTGTATGACCCAGGCATGGAACCAGCTGTCTTCAAGTCCAAGTTCCCCTGTCTGAGACTCATCTACCCCCCCCCCCCCACCTGTATGTACTGTAACCCCTACTTGTATGACCCAGGCATGGAACCAGCTGTCTTCAAGTCCAAGTTCCCCTGTCTGAGACTCATCTACCCCCCCCCCCCCCACCTGTATGTACTGTAACCCCTACTTGTATGACCCAGGCATGGAACCAGCTGTCTTCAAGTCCAAGTTCCCCTGTCTGAGACTCATCTACCCCCCCCCCCCCACCTGTCTGTATGTACTGTAACCCCTACTTGTATGACCCAGGCATGGAACCAGCTGTCTTCAAGTCCAAGTTCCCCTGTCTGAGACTCATCTACCCCCCCCCATCTGTATGTACTGTAACCCCTACTTGTATGACCCAGGCATGGAACCAGCTGTCTTCAAGTCCAAGTTCCCCTGTCTGAGACTCATCTACCCCCCCCCCCCACCTGTATGTACTGTAACCCCTACTTGTATGACCCAGGCATGGAACCAGCTGTCTTCAAGTCCAAGTTCCCCTGTCTGAGACTCATCTACCCCCCCCCACCTGTATGTACTGTAAGCCCTACTTGTATGACCCAGGCATGGAACCAGCTGTCTTCAAGTCCAAGTTCCCCTGTCTGAGACTCATCTACCCCCCCCCCCCACCTGTATGTACTGTAACCCCTGCTTGTATGACCCATGCATGGAACCAGCTGTCTTCAAGTCCAAGTTCCCCTGTCTGAGACTCATCTACCCCCCCCCCCACCTGTATGTACTGTAACCCCTACTTGTATGACCCAGGCATGGAACCAGCTGTCTTCAAGTCCAAGTTCCCCTGTCTGAGACTCATCTACCCCCCCCCCCATCTGTATGTACTATAACCCCTGCTTGTATGACCCAGGCATGGAACCAGCTGTCTTCAAGTCCAAGTTCCCCTGTCTGAGACTCATCTACCCCCCCCCCCCACCTGTCTGTACTGTAACCCCTACTTGTATGACCCAGGCATGGAACCAGCTGTCTTCAAGTCCAAGTTCCCCTGTCTGAGACTCATCTACCCCCCCCCCATCTGTATGTACTGTAACCCCTGCTTGTATGACCCAGGCATGGAACCAGCTGTCTTCAAGTCCAAGTTCCCCTGTCTGAGACTCATCTACCCCCCCCCCACCTGTATGTACTGTAACCCCTACTTGTATGACCCAGGCATGGAACCAGCTGTCTTCAAGTCCAAGTTCCCCTGTCTGAGACTCATCTATCCCCCCCCCCACCTGTATGTACTGTAACCCCTACTTGTATGACCCAGGCATGGAACCAGCTGTCTTCAAGTCCAAGTTCCCCTGTCTGAGACTCATCTATCCCCCCCCCCCTGTATGTACTGTAACCCCTACTTGTATGACCCAGGCATGGAACCAGCTGTCTTCAAGTCCAAGTTCCCCTGTCTGAGACTCATCTACCCCCCCCCACCTGTCTGTATGTACTGTAACCCCTACTTGTATGACCCAGGCATGGAACCAGCTGTCTTCAAGTCCAAGTTCCCCTGTCTGAGACTCATCTACCCCCCCCCCCCCACCTGTATGTACTGTAACCCCTACTTGTATGACCCAGGCATGGAACCAGCTGTCTTCAAGTCCAAGTTCCCCTGTCTGAGACTCATCTACCCCCCCCCCCATCTGTATGTACTGTAACCCCTACTTGTATGACCCAGGCATGGAACCAGCTGTCTTCTAGTCCAAGTTCCCCTGTCTGAGACTCATCTACCCCCCCCCCCCCACCTGTATGTACTGTAACCCCTGCTTGTATGACCCAGGCATGGAACCAGCTGTCTTCAAGTCCAAGTTCCCCTGTCTGAGACTCATCTACCCCCCCCCCCACCTGTATGTACTGTAACCCCTACTTGTATGACCCAGGCATGGAACCAGCTGTCTTCAAGTCCAAGTTCCCCTGTCTGAGACTCATCTACCCCCCCCCACCTGTATGTACTGTAACCCCTACTTGTATGACCCAGGCATGGAACCAGCTGTCTTCAAGTCCAAGTTCCCCTGTCTGAGACTCATCTACCCCCCCCCCATCTGTATGTACTGTAAACCCTACTTGTATGACCCAGGCATGGAACCAGCTGTCTTCAAGTCCAAGTTCCCCTGTCTGAGACTCAGCTCCCCCCCCCCCACCTGTATGTACTGTAACCCCTGCTTGTATGACCCAGGCATGGAACCAGCTGTCTTCAAGTCCAAGTTCCCCTGTCTGAGACTCATCTACCCCCCCCCCCCACCTGTATGTACTGTAACCCCTGCTTGTATGACCCAGGCATGGAACCAGCTGTCTTCAAGTCCAAGTTCCCCTGTCTGAGACTCATCTACCCCCCCCCCCACCTGTATGTACTGTAACCCCTACTTGTATGACCCAGGCATGGAACCAGCTGTCTTCAAGTCCAAGTTCCCCTGTCTGAGACTCATCTACCCCCCCCCCCCACCTGTCTGTATGTACTGTAACCCCTACTTGTATGACCCAGGCATGGAACCAGCTGTCTTCAAGTCCAAGTTCCCCTGTCTGAGACTCATCTACCCCCCCCCCACCTGTATGTACTGTAACCCCTACTTGTATGACCCAGGCATGGAACCAGCTGTCTTCAAGTCCAAGTTCCCCTGTCTGAGACTCAGCTACCCCCCCCCCACCTGTATGTACTGTAACCCCTACTTGTATGACCCAGGCATGGAACCAGCTGTCTTCAAGTCCAAGTTCCCCTGTCTGAGACTCATCTACCCCCCCCCCCCACCTGTATGTACTGTAACCCCTACTTGTATGACCCAGGCATGGAACCAGCTGTATTCAAGTCCAAGTTCCCCTGTCTGAGACTCATGTACCCCCCCCACCTGTATGTACTGTAACCCCTGCTTGTATGACCCAGGCATGGAACCAGCTGTCTTCAAGTCCAAGTTCCCCTGTCTGAGACTCATCTACCCCCCCCCACCTGTCTGTATGTACTGTAACCCCTACTTGTATGACCCAGGCATGGAACCAGCTGTCTTCAAGTCCAAGTTCCCCTGTCTGAGACTCATCTACCCCCCCCCCCACCTGTATGTACTGTAACCCCTACTTGTATGACCCAGGCATGGAACCAGCTGTCTTCAAGTCCAAGTTCCCCTGTCTGAGACTCATCTATCCCCCCCCCCTGTATGTACTGTAACCCCTACTTGTATGACCCAGGCATGGAACCAGCTGTCTTCAAGTCCAAGTTCCCCTGTCTGAGACTCATCTACCCCCCCCCCCACCTGTATGTACTGTAACCCCTACTTGTATGACCCAGGCATGGAACCAGCTGTCTTCAAGTCCAAGTTCCCCTGTCTGAGACTCATCTACCCCCCCCCCCACCTATATGTACTGTAACCCCTACTTGTATGACCCAGGCATGGAACCAGCTGTCTTCAAGTCCAAGTTCCCCTGTCTGAGACTCATCTACCCCCCCCCCCACCTGTCTGTATGTACTGTAACCCCTACTTGTATGACCCAGGCATGGAACCAGCTGTCTTCAAGTCCAAGTTCCCCTGTCTGAGACTCATCTACCCCCCCCCCACCTATATGTACTGTAACCCCTGCTTGTATGACCCAGGCATGGAACCAGCTGTCTTCAAGTCCAAGTTCCCCTGTCTGAGACTCATCTACCCCCCCCCCCCACCTGTATGTACTGTAACCCCTGCTTGTATGACCCAGGCATGGAACCAGCTGTCTTCAAGTCCAAGTTCCCCTGTCTGAGACTCATCTACCCCCCCCCACCTGTATGTACTGTAACCCCTACTTGTATGACCCAGGCATGGAACCAGCTGTCTTCAAGTCCAAGTTCCCCTGTCTGAGACTCATCTACCCCCCCCCCCCCCACCTGTCTGTATGTACTGTAACCCCTACTTGTATGACCCAGGCATGGAACCAGCTGTCTTCAAGTCCAAGTTCCCCTGTCTGAGACTCATCTACCCCCCCCCCCCCCACCTGTATGTACTGTAACCCCTACTTGTATGACCCAGGCATGGAACCAGCTGTCTTCAAGTCCAAGTTCCCCTGTCTGAGACTCATCTACCCCCTCCCCACCTGTCTGTATGTACTGTAACCCCTACTTGTATGACCCAGGCATGGAACCAGCTGTCTTCAAGTCCAAGTTCCCCTGTCTGAGACTCATCTACCCCCCCCCCACCTGTATGTACTGTAACCCCTACTTGTATGACCCAGGCATGGAACCAGCTGTCTTCAAGTCCAAGTTCCCCTGTCTGAGACTCATCTACCCCCCCCCCCCCACCTGTATGTACTGTAACCCCTACTTGTATGACCCAGGCATGGAACCAGCTGTCTTCAAGTCCAAGTTCCCCTGTCTGAGACTCATCTACCCCCCCCCATCTGTATGTACTGTAACCCCTGCTTGTATGACCCAGGCATGGAACCAGCTGTCTTCAAGTCCAAGTTCCCCTGTCTGAGACTCATCTACCCCCCCCACCTGTATGTACTGTAACCCCTGCTTTTAAGACCCAGGCATGGAACCAGCTGTCTTCAAGTCCAAGTTCCCCTGTCTGAGACTCATCTACCCCCCCCCCCCACCTGTATGTACTGTAACCCCTACTTGTATGACCCAGGCATGGAACCAGCTGTCTTCAAGTCCAAGTTCCCCTGTCTGAGACTCATCTACCCCCCCCCCCCCACCTGTATGTACTGTAACCCCTGCTTGTATGACCCAGGCATGGAACCAGCTGTCTTCAAGTCCAAGTTCCCCTGTCTGAGACTCATCTACCCCCCCCCCCCCTTAGCCCCACCTGTATGTACTGTAACCCCTACTTGTATGACCCAGGCATGGAACCAGCTGTCTTCAAGTCCAAGTTCCCCTGTCTGAGACTCATCTACCACTACCAGGCTGATGAAGGCCTCTACCACATGTTTAGACTGCCACACACACGCCTCTTCAACAACAAGGCCACGGTTGTCATGTCACAGGAGGAAGCTAAAGGTTGGTAGTTATCTTCTCCTGTTGCAGGTTGGTAGTTATCTTCTCCTGTTGCAGGTTGGTAGTTATCTTCTCCTGTTGCAGGTTGGTAGTTATCTTCTCTTGACACAGGTTGGTAGTTATCTTCTCCTGACAGGTTGGTAGTTATCTTCTCCTGCCACAGGTTGGTAGTTATCTTCTCTTGACAGGTTGGTAGTTATCTTCTCCTGACAGTTTGGTAGTTATCTTCTCTTGACAGGTTGGTGGTTATCTTCTCTTGACACAGGTTGGTAGCTATCCTCTCCTGACAGGTTGGTAGTTATCTTCTCTTGACAGGTTGGTAGTTATCTTCTCCTGACAGGTTGGTAGTTATCTTCTCTTGACAGGTTGGTGGTTATCTTCTCTTGACAGGTTGGTGGTTATCTTCTCTTGACACAGGTTGGTAGTTATCTTCTCTTGACAGGTTGGTAGTTATCTTCTCCTGACACAGGTTGGTAGTTATCTTCTCTTGACACTGGTTGGTAGTTATCTTCTCCTGACACAGGTTGGTAGTTATCTTCTCTTGACAGGTTGGTAGTTATCTTCTCTTGACACAGGTTGTTAGTTATCTTCTCTTGACAGGTTGGTAGTTATCTTCTCTTGACACAGGTTGGTAGTTATCTTCTCCTGACACAGGTTGATAGTTATCTTCTCCTGGCACAGGTTGGTAGTTATCTTCCCTTGACATAGGTTGGTAGTTATCTTCTCTTGACATAGGTTGGTCGTTATCTTCTTTTGACACAGGTTGGTAGTTATCTTCTCCTGCCACAGGTTGGTAGTTATCTTCTCTTGACATAGGTTGGTAGTTATCTTCTCCTGCCACAGGTTGGTAGTTATCTTCTCCTGCCACAGGTTGGTAGTTATCTTCTCCTGACACAGGTAGGTAGTTATCGTCTCCTGCCACAGGTTTTGAAAATGTCCTGAAACATTAATATGACATTTTATTTTGTCTAGATTCTCTTCGAATGATAGCGGACACTTTTAAATCAGCCCAGGACATAATGAAAATTGAATTAGAAATTGTTGAAAAACCAAAGCTAGAAAAGTAAGTATCAGCAGATTTATCTGTAAGACCAGCTATCTGATAATGAAACAATCTTACCATTACAGTCCTGTAATAAGTTTAGTATTAAGTTGCTGTGTTGTCTCTCTACTCAGGAGGAAAGCAACAGCCCACCCCGATGTGGTGGACGTCTTCAGACAGCAACAAGAAAACTCCCTGGCTGGCATCTCACTGCCCAGAGACATCTCAGCAGACATCAGCTCCGCCCTGCAAGCAGCAGACAACCACTCTGTCAGCAGACTTGAGCCAGGTCCCTCCACAGTTTCCCCAGTCCCTCGCTCCGTCTCCCCCCTAGAGTTTCTAAACAATTTTTCCAAACAGAACATGTCAAAGAACATGACAGCCAAGTTCACCCTACCTAAACCTAACCTGAAAATAAACCTTCAAAACCTCAACCTGATGAGAAGAATTAAATTAAATAAAGATAATGAAAATAGCGATGACTGTGACAGTAATTGTGACAGTGAAGACGAGAGGAACAGACAGGAAGCGACGCAGGACGTGGTGCTAGACAGCTGTGGCATCCTGGCATCCAGTCCGAACCAGATTTTACTCTCCTCAATTCATCTGAAGGCTGAGAGCAGACGCAGCATGCCCCAAGTTGACTCACTGACACACACCCCTCCTAAAGTCTTCAGCTTTGAGAAACTTGAAGCTGACCTCAACTCTACTGCCACGCAAACTGGGGTCAGTAAACAAAATATTCCAGACACTGATCACGTGGATGCCAACTCTTGTGGAGGTTTTGCCAGTCAAAGCACAACAAAGACAGAGACCAGTACTGAGAAGCCAGAAGATGATGACTCCAGTGAAGGGGAGTATTGCGTGATAGAAAACGATGAGGTCCGAGCTATTTTAGGCAAGTGTCATCAGCTACACCACCCCCACATGAAGACGTCGCTGAGTGACACGACACTAAGTGCCAGTTTGAACTCGGCACCTCAGGACACCATGGTCCTGGCCCAGTCTAACCTTGACCCTAGAGATGCGGGCCTGGTGTCCAGGTTCAAACAGAAGATGGTCACTCTGTCCAAGACGTCAGCCGTCAAGTTCATTGAACCCGCATTCCCTCGTGTGGCTATCCGCAAATCTCAGAGAGTTCTGGGGGTATTTGAGAAGTTGAAAAAGGAGAAGATCCCTCCCAATGTAGAATGTCAAACACATTTCATTTTTATTTGACCAATCTGGTGCTTTCCTTATCTTACCAAGCCTGTCATTGGTGGTTATTTTTAGCTCAGGGTTGTGATTTTTTACTGCAGCAGTACATTTTTTTGGTGCAGGAATCAACAGTACAAACTTCTCACAGTGAACTTTTTTAGAGTTAAAATTTTTTTGTTGTAGCTGGTATTTGGTTTTATAGCTTCTGCTTCTGTTATGCATGACAAAACTTTTTTGAAAATTTAGATTTTGGTAATTATTTTTATATCTAGTTTGCCAACATAATGCCTCATCTTATTTAAGTTTGAGCCTTAATTATTTTTTTTTCTGGTAAAATTATATTTATAATAATTTAATTTAATGAATGGAGAAATTGTAAATATTTGAAACAGTTGGATGTGTGAATCATCTCAGAGCCAGTTACTTGTTTATATTAGGCATGAATGAAAAGGTCGGCAGCATCTGGTTCAAGGACACTAGATACCTTGTGTTGCTAGCACATGGGCAGTGCACTTTACGGTACTTAGCACAAACTTTGTATTTTTGTATTTTGTACTGACCTACAAAAACAAAGAAATTTTTTTTTTATCTGCCAAAAATTTATACCAGTTGTTTGAAGTTTTTGATATTAAAAGTAAATAAATGTATACCGTTATTTAATGAGATTAGTTATAAAGCCAAGGAACAATCAGCTTAAAATTAACATGTTTTCTATTGAACAATTTAAGAACAATTTTTTTCATTTAATAATAATATTAAAAATATATGCAATGAACAATTTACTTGTAAGAATAATGTAAGCATTGAATAATTTACAAACAGTATTCATATTGAACAATTTATTAGACCAATATTTTTATTGGTCAGAAAAAACCCCAATGATTTCATAGATCAAAAGACAAACAGTACATCATGTATAAAAACAGGTTCGTTTTTATCAAGAAGATGTTAGTTAAATCCTTTTTTAATTTATAAATTCAAAGCTTTTTCTGGCTTAGGGAAGCTACATTATTTTCAAAATTGAATTTAAAAAACTGCATTCTGTTAAGCAATTTATTGTTTACTATGTACTGCATTTTGTTGGCTCATGAGAAGATGATCAAACTGCTAAAACTGAAGTGTCTGTAAAATACACTGTTAGATGAGTTGAATCTCTGGCTGTTTATACTCAAACCTCCATTTAATTCTCATGTCTCAAGGTCAGAGTTCACACATAATGCAGGTTTTTTTTATACTGCTTGTGTTTACACATGGAAGAGCTAGCTAAATCAGATGTAAGGACTATGTTAATTGGGTCAGGTGTAAGGACTATGATAATTGTATCAGATGTAAGGACTAATATAACTGTATAAGATGTAAGGACTAAGATAACTGTATACGATGTAAGGAATGTGATAACTGTATCAGATGTAAGGACTAATATATCTATTGTGTTAATACATTCCACAATGTGATAATCATTTTTTAGCTTTATGTAATTTTTTGTTTTCACATTGCCAAATTATTTTTTACAGCATAAAAATTACATTTGAAGTGGACTGTTTCTCATTAATTTATCATTAATTGATGTTAATTTGTTTATAATTGAATGTAAAAATTCTGCTGAACATGGAATATAATTTTTGTTGTACTTAAGTAGTTTCCCCAAAGCCAATCTTTTTTTAATTTTCTAAGGTTATGAGCTACCTAACAAAGTTATTTAATTTTTTGAACAATTCTTTTCAGTTAACTAAAGGTGACTGAATTTCCAGTGCATAGGCCTACACAGTTTCTGAAGTCAGAAATATTTTCTGTTGATTTCCTGTGAATACATAATTTTAGAAGTCAATGAGCAGCATCACATTTCAAGTTTTTTTAAAGAGTGTTCACATTTTCTTCAATATGAATGTCTTTTTTGTTCAGCTGCAGTCCACTTCTCATTCAAATAGTTGTCTGTCTTGATATACAGGGTGTAGAATTGTCTGTCTTGATATACAGGGTGTAGTTGTCTGTCTTGATATACAGGGTGTAGAGTTGTCTGTCTTGATATACAGGGTGTAGAGTTGTCTATCTTAATATACAGGGTGTAGAGTTGTCTATCTTGATATACAGGGTGTAGAGTTGTCTATCTTAATATACAGGGTGGAGTTGTCTATCTTGATATACAGGGTGTAGAGTTGTCTGTCTTGATATACAAGGTGTGGAGTTGTTGGTCTTGATGTACAAGGTGCTGAGTTATCTATCTTGATATACAGGGTGTAGAGTTGTCTATCTAGACACACAGGGCCTATAGTTGTCTGTCTTGATAGATAGGGTATGCTGATTAAGTGCTGAATTACAGGGAGCAGTTGCTCACTATTTAAACTCTTGTACTTAACTTTTCAATGTTTTCTTATTTGTTATGGATCATAACATTGTAGCTTGAACCTAATGCTCTTATCTTATGGTTTTCTAATGTTCTTCTTTGTTATTGTTTCTTTTCTCATCTTTTTTACTTGCTTATGTTTAGCTTTATGAGCGACATATAGTTGTTTTTTTCTTCTGATGTTCACAAAACTGTTATTTATATTTTTGTTAGCATGCCATGTCATTTTGTTTGCATAATTTTCTACAATTATCTTTTTTTCTTAAGGCTTTCTTACCCACTGTTTTACTCTCCGCATTTTTTTATTTTTAGTAACGTTTTTGTTAACAGGATTCTCAATTGATTTTTTAAAAAAAAATTAGTATAATTTCTCCGTAGTTTGCAGGAAAATAAAACTCAAAAAAAAGTTTTATGTAATTGTTTGGAGGCACTAGATTTGTTTGTATTTTTTAAATAACACACTATGTGCAATAATTAATGTTGATTAAATATAATTCTTTTTAGATAATCAATTCATGTATCAAATTCTATGAAAAAAATATAGATGACGTGTATTATTTGTTAAGGGCATAGTTGTAGTTGATTACAAATAGTTATCTATTAACTATGTCAAGATAAAATATATGTTTGTCAGATCTGTTGTCTGTGTTAGATTATCTACTCTATGTGTATGGCTAAAGTAGGAGGGCATATAAGTATCACATGTGTTAACATATGTATATGTGCATTAACTTGGTGTCTAATATGTTACTATGTGCCAGGAAATATTTGTATACTGAATTAATACAAGTAAACAAGATTTAATGAAATATGTTTATGTCCGTTTTTTATGGTAATTGGATGAAAAAACCTATTTAGCAAATGTTGTAACTCTATTTTTTATTTGGCCTAGTATTTGTTGATACACCATATTATAATATGTGTTAAACGTATGTGTGTCTGTATGATTTATGAAGTGATATTGATGTGATATTTTTTTTCTTATGAATTCCAAACACTGTGCCATTTTGTCTCACTCCCTTATGTTAATTAATCTAATTACTCCCTTGTGTTAATTAATCTAATTACTCCCTAATGTTAATTAATCTAATTAAAATTAACCTCTTAGTAACCTAAGGAAAAACAAATTGGGTGTGTGCCCACACAATATATCAAGCTGATTTTTCTTCATGTCTGACTAGTAACACAATCACCTGATACAACAGAAGAAAATATATCCAGCTTTTTACCTCATAGTAAGGTTATAAAGTAAACAGGCAAATGCAAGTAACAAAAGAAAACAGACAAATGCAAGTAACAAAAGAAAACAGACAAATGCAAGTAACAAAAGAAAACAGACAAATGCAAGTAACAAAAGAAAATAGACAAATGCAAGTAACAAAAGAAAACAGACAAATGGAAGTAACAAAAGAAAACAGACAAATGCAAGTAACAAAAGAAAACAGACAAATGGAAGTAACAAAAGAAAATAGACAAATGCAAGTAACAAAAGAAAACAGACAAATGCAAGTAACAAAAGAAAACAGACAAATGCAAGTAACAAAAGAAAACAGACAAATGCAAGTAACAAAAGAAAACAGACAAATGCAAGTAACAAAAGAAAACAGACAAATGCAAGTAACAAAAGAAAACAGACAAATGCAAGTAACAAAAGAAAACAGACAAATGCAAGTAACAAAAGAAAACAGACAAATGCAAGTAACAAAAGAAAACAGACAAATGCAAGGCACAAGATTTGATGTATTGTTAATTTCAAATTGAAATGATGTGTTCTTGTTATATGCATTCAAATGAGATGTTCATCTCTTCTATTTTTCTTGTAATTTATAGAATAATAAAAGTGCAAAACTTTTTATAAATACTAGAACAAAAGGTATATATTTTTTTCTTTAATGTAGGAAGTTATGATGGCAGTTAAAATATTTTGGCAATGGATTTATCAAATGATGTTATAATATTGTATATCAGGTGTCAGCTGAATTAGAAGTAATGTGGATTTATCAAGTGTTGCAAAAATTGATCTTTGATTGTTTAATTATCTGATGTTAGATCATTGTATACCAGGTATTAGATATCTGGGTTAGACCTGACCTGGATCCTGTTGTTTTATTGGCAGACGCTCACCTAACAGGACAATTTCACTGTTTGATAGACAGCTCTAGATGGACGTTTGTCATTTTCATGATTGCAGTTCATGATAACCTCATTAGAAAACTGTTTCCTTGTGTTATTTATACAATCAATTAAATACTGCTAATTAAAACCCAGCAAAGATACATTGGTTTAGCTCGTTACATTTTTTCTCCCTTAAGATTGAGCTGTATTTTAAAATTCATGTGAAATGTTTAAAAAGTGAAACTATTTTTTGTGCCACCTTTGTAAGTCATCCAGAGAGAGGTCAACATTGCCAGGGGGTGCTTTCATCACTTAGAGTGTGAGTCATTAGAGAGTCCTGTCATTGTTGAATGTGAGAATCTCTAGATGAGGTGTACAATGTAGTATGTGAGTAGTGAGGTAGTTTGTACACAGTGGGTTAAACAAAATCCCATGAATGTATCAGGTGAGAACAAAACCACATTTACCTATCAGGTGTCAACAAAATCACATGTATATGCTTGTAAAATTATCACTGTGATATACGAGTGTTGTTAAATGGTAGTTACCCTAACTCACAAATGTTGAAGTGTAAATGTAATACAAAGCATAATTTCTACTTATTTAAATTTTCTCATCTTTGATTAAAGGCAGGGCACCTATACATGACCAGGTTTAACCTGAGGTGTCATACATGACAAGGTTTAACTAAGGTGTCATACATGACCAGGTTTAACCTGAGGTGTCATATATATGACCAGGTTAAACTAAGGTGTCATACAACATGACCAGGTTTAACCTAAGGTGTCCTTTTTATTCAAATATTTGTTTTTATCTTAAAACTAAAACACTTTATTAACTCACTGCATTATAACCCTTTAAAAATAGTTGAATGAAACTTTCAGTTCTTGTATCAATTGATAAACAATATAGGCTGATTGATGCTTAGACAACTCAATTATATTGTTTGTATTTATTCAAGAATTATATTTGTATGAATTCTTTTTTACACAAAATTTAGAAAACCCTTCAGGAATTATACTATTAAGTGATAGTTTTTAAAATATCAATAGTTAAAATTAACACAATTTATAATTAATTTTTTTTTAAAATTATGTTATAGTTTAATCAATTATTTGTTTAAAAAAACCAGTTAACCCTGTTTCCCATACCATACAGCTAAATATTATTTCCCTTTTTTCTGCTAAAATGTAGTCAAATATTTTTTACTGTCACTTTCACATGTTAGTGTTTGTATAACGTGTCAGTTCAGAATAAACGGCAGTCATGTTTTATGGTCTTCATTTTCTCTTGACTAAAACAGGCGTTTCTTGACGCGTTCGTTCTTGTGTTTGTAGCTGAAACACTAATCACCAGGTGGACACTTTAGGACTGCGTGTGGCTCACAAAGTGGGTGTGGCTGACCAAGTGGGTATGGCTCATCAAGTAGGTGTGGCTGACCAAGTGGGTATGGCTCATCAAGTGGGTGTGGTTCACCAAGTGGGTATAGCTCACCTAGTGGGTGTGGCTGACCAAGTGGGTGTGGCTGACCAAGTGGGTGTGGCTGACCAAGTGGGTGTGGCTGTCTACATTTAAAACCATTTTTATTTCATCTCCATGAAGCTAAAACAACATATTATCAAAGAAGTAAAAATTAATAAGGCAGGCAATATTTTAATCATGTATATCACACAAAGACAACAGAATGTTACATAAATATTAATATTGTGACATTACCAATATCAGTGATTTAATGACATAAACAATCCATTCAATTATTTACAGTACATGAGTTTTTAATGAAAACTGTACCAGGTGAAGCAAATAATCCATAAATAATCTTGTGCTGCTGTTGATGAGTTGCCACCATATTGCTGGCAGTCCTACAGCCAATCAGCAATGGTTAGACCAGTCATGTGACTGAGTGGACTGATGAGTCATCCCTGTGTACACGTCACTCTGGACACACGGACAAGCTTGCTCGCTCTAATTAATTGAATTAATTAGCTACTGAAGTTGTTTTTTTTTGCTTGCACCTGTATCAACCATTGGAGAACCTGTGACTAACCGAAATATTTGCCCGACTGGCAAGTCTGACAGCAGAGCGAGGAAAACACAGTGTAGCGACACATCTTGAGACGATGTATCAGGCTGCAGGAACGTGAGGAGTCTGAGCACTCTGAAACACAAGACTCTTCATGTGTCATGGTGATATTGACATGTTAGGCTAATCTCTACTTCACACAAAACTTTTATGGTGATATTCACATGTTAGACTAAACTTAACTTCACACAAAACTTTTATGGTGATATTGACATGTTAGACTAAACTTTACTTCACACAAAACTTTTATGGTGATATTGACATGTTAGGCTAATCTCTACTTCACACAAAACTTTTATGGTGATATTGACATGTTAGACTAAACTTTACTTCACACAAAACTTTTATGGTGATATTGACATGTTAGGCTAATCTCTACTTCACACAAAACTTTTATGGTGATATTGACATGTTAGACTAAACTTTACTTCACACAAAACTTTTATGGTGATATTGACATGTTAGGCTAATCTCTACTTCACACAAAACTTTTATGGTGATATTCACATGTTAGACTAAACTTTACTTCACACAAAACTTTTATGGTGATATTGACATGTTAGGCTAATCTCTACTTCACACAAAACTTTTATGGTGATATTGACATGTTAGGCTAATCTCTACTTCACACAAAACTTTTATGGTGATATTGACATGTTAGACTAAACTTTACTTCACACAAAACTTTTATGGTGATATTGACATGTTAGGCTAATCTCTACTTCACACAAAACTTTTATGGTGATATTGACATGTTAGACTAAACTTTACTTCACACAAAACTTTTATGGTGATATTGACATGTTAGGCTAATCTCTACTTCACACAAAACTTTTATGGTGATATTCACATGTTAGACTAAACTTTACTTCACACAAAACTTTTATGGTGATATTGACATGTTAGGCTAATCTCTACTTCACACAAAACTTTTATGGTGATATTGACATGTTAGGCTAATCTCTACTACACACAAAACTTTTATGGTGATATTGACATGTTAGACTAAACTTTACTTCACACAAAACTTTTATGGTGATATTGACATGTTAGGCTAATCTCTACTTCACACAAAACTTTTATAGTGATATTGACATGTTAGACTAAACTTTACTTCACACAAAACTTTTATGGTGATATTGACATGTTAGGCTAATCTCTACTTCACACAAAACTTTTATGGTGATATTGACATGTTAGACTAAACTTTACTTCACACAAAACTTTTATGGTGATATTGACATGTTAGGCTAATCTCTACTTCACACAAAACTTTTATGGTGATATTGACATGTTAGACTAAACTTTACTTCACACAAAACTTTTATGGTGATATTGACATGTTAGGCTAATCTCTACTTCACACAAAACTTTTATGGTGATATTCACATGTTAGACTAAACTTTACTTCACACAAAACTTTTATGGTGATATTGACATGTTAGGCTAATCTCTACTTCACACAAAACTTTTATGGTGATATTGACATGTTAGGCTAATCTCTACTTCACACAAAACTTTTATGGTGATATTGACATGTTAGACTAAACTTTACTTCACACAAAACTTTTATGGTGATATTGACATGTTAGGCTAATCTCTACTTCACACAAAACTTTTATGGTGATATTGACATGTTAGACTAAACTTTACTTCACACAAAACTTTTATGGTGATATTGACATGTTAGGCTAATCTCTACTTCACACAAAACTTTTATGGTGATATTCACATGTTAGACTAAACTTTACTTCACACAAAACTTTTATGGTGATATTGACATGTTAGGCTAATCTCTACTTCACACAAAACTTTTATGGTGATATTGACATGTTAGGCTAATCTCTACTTCACACAAAACTTTTATGGTGATATTGACATGTTAGGCTAATCTCTACTTCACACAAAACTTTTATGGTGATATTCACATGTTAGACTAAACTTTACTTCACACAAAACTTTTATGGTGATATTGACATGTTAGGCTAATCTCTACTTCACACAAAACTTTTATGGTGATATTGACATGTTAGGCTAATCTCTACTTCACACAAAACTTTTATGGTGATATTGACATGTTAGGCTAATCTCTACTTCACACAAAACTTTTATGGTGATATTCACATGTTAGACTAAACTTTACTTCACACAAAACTTTTATGGTGATATTGACATGTTAGGCTAATCTCTACTTCACACAAAACTTTTATGGTGATATTGACATGTTAGGCTAATCTCTACTTCACACAAAACTTTTATGGTGATATTGACATGTTAGGCTAATCTCTACTTCACACAAAACTTTTATGGTGATATTGACATGTTAGGCTAATCTCTACTTCACACAAAACTTTTATGGTGATATTCACATGTTAGACTAATCATTACTCAACACAAAACTTTTATGATGTTATTGACATGTTAGACTGATCTTTACTTAGAACTGTTCTATCTTCATCTAATGCTACCACAAAGGGGGGAGAAGTGGGTTTTATAATATCTATCTACCCCTTATAACACCAGGAGATTTGTCTGTGATTTTCATAAGTTTTTTTTTAGAAATATAAACCTACCTAATTTATTTATAAATATTTTATATTTGTATTCTCCTTATCAGCCCATAAAATGTAGTTACAAAGCTTTTGGTCCTATAAATTTCACATGTTATGCCCTGTGTTACAAGCCTAGTACTAAACACCACAGGACAATTCCTTAGTAAAGGCAAGTTGAAAGCCAGGCATTAACATCCATGGTTAAATTTCTAACAGTTTAAAAGCCGGACTATTCAAAGGATAAAAACTGTGTGGAAGAAAAAGGAGTTGTCCATAAACAAAATCACACTCCTGCGGGAAGGGGAGGGGTATAAATAGTTTTTAAAATCATGATGTCATTAATGGTTGACCCCCAAAGTTGAACTTACTAGAACAAGATGGCAGATAGCAATATTTTCTGGTCTGGGGTTTACTTTCTGGCAAACATTTGCCGTCTGCTGGGCTCATGTCCCCGTCCCACACACAAGTCACGTGAGTGGTCGTGTAGCCGATCTGCCCACACTTTCCCTGGCACTGAGAGACAAGTTATCAACTTGACGCATACATCACATGATATAATTATAATATGGGCTAAATATAGAACGATAAAAATACAAAAAACAATTAAACATAAATAAAACAATCATAAACTTTTTATATTAAAAAATAGGAAGATAAATACTAATAGGTCCTATCATTCAATTTCTTCCATTACAAAAATATTTCAAGTCTTCTTATACTATAGCTATCACTGAGTATAGACTATAGAGTATAGTAGGTCTACTGGCCTACATTTGGATTAAAAGGAGCAGGTTTTAACTTTAAAGTATAGGCCCTAAAGTTAATCCAATGCATTTTTTCCCTTTCAAGCAGTTCATATGGAGGGAAACCTCTAAGTATTGACATATTTAAGGTGTGACCTGCCTTACACAAACAAATGTGTCGTGTCTGTGAATAAAAATAGAAATATTAATTCAAAGCAGGAACTTGAAGCAACACCAGAACATTTTGAGAGTTATCTACCTTAGTCCACGTCCCGTTCCGCCATACTGCTTTGCACGGCTCCCAGCATGCCTCAACAGAGGCTGGTTTGTACAGTCCGGCCTTTTTGCACTCCAGGTCGTCAACGATCTTTAAATACGCTGACGCCACATTTGCGCAGACGACAGATCTTGTCCTGTTACCTTTGGCCGAACAGGTTGACGAACAGTTTGACCAGTCCAGCGTCTGGTAGGCGAGTGACGTCACTTTCTTGCTCTGGTCTCGTTGGTCACGTTGTTGGAGGAAGTCGTGTGTTATGTTGGTGTGTTTCAGGTCATACCACTCGCTTTTCTCTAGCCGCTGTTGAATCTTCAGTTTTTTGAGCCAGTCAGAGTATTCTGCCAGTTGATTGTCTCCCTGTCTGTCAATAGGTTAGGGAAGGGGAGAGAATTGGTAATTATTCATCTAACAATAAAATTTGCGGGAGAGCGGACAGTGGTAAAAGTATATATTTTTCGCCCCCGCCTTCGAAGAGATGCCTGGAAGAAACTCTGCTGATAACCTTACTGATATTTCAAGTGTTAAAACATTGAACTTAAACACGAATATACACAATGTAAACACTAAACATAAGTAGACCTAGTAGGTTTGTGAAATTATATGGACTTCTGCACAGATTAATTTTTTCCCCTATGGTAGCAGGCCTAGTTATCTTTTAATTTTTATTTTTAAAAAAATCTTTTAATTAGTATATTGTCTAATTTAAATTCAGTCCAATCCAGTAATTTTAAAAAATGGCTGCCATAATCCAATAAAACAAGACATTACTTGATGAAGCGGACAGTGACGGTGGAGGAGACGGTCCCTGCAGTGCATGTGTAGACCCCATAGTCTCGTTTTGGGTTGGCCCTGTCGATGCGAAGTTTAGTGCCTACAACGTGGGGTCCCTGGGACTGTTTCATCAACGTGACCAGCTTGTGGCCTTTACTCCAGGTGACCAGGTCCTTTGAGAAGTGCTGGACGGGACATTTGATGACCAGCGTTTGACCAGACAGAATATTCACCTTGAATAGTGGTGTTTTAATCAAGTTAATTCATTGAATAAAGTAGTCGAATTTATTGGAGCATCAAGACTATTGTCAGTAACACATCATGTAGATATATAGTGTGTAGGCTCTTAAAATTTAATATATACAACAAATACTTTTTATTGTTCAGAGAATGGTTATAATTATTATATTCCTCTTCTAGCTTAGATTGTGCCTGTAAATTTAATTATCTCCCTTAGAAAATAAATGCCTTACTTCCCCTCCAACGGTCACTCGTATTGTTTTGCCCCTACGGAACTGTATCAGTGTGTAGTTCTCGGCCAAGATGGAGGCGCTCACATCCTCGTCTGCCTGGGGGCAATCAGTCTCATGACACGGGCGTGTAGCCTGGGGCGCGGGGCTGGGACACTCCACCACCGGCGCCCTGTACAGCTGGCCTGACCGGTCCGCGATCTGACACGACACGTCTCTCGTCTGCTGGCCGTCTCCACACGACACTGAACACTGGAACAGACACAGGTGTCAGTAGATTTACTGATCTGGTGTACTAGATTGTACACAGAACAGCTGTAGAATACTATAGAGATTAAATCAATTATACCACTAGTTTTGCAGTATGGGCGGAAACACGGAGAATCAATGTAACAGAGAACTCACATTCTTCCATCAAGTTTCAGATTGGCGGACCTGGTATCGTCAGTTTCTCTCTTCCGGCAGGCACTCTTTCCCCCCCCCCCCCCCACCCCCTCCCAGACAAAAATATAAAAAGATATATAATCCGGAAATGTAAGTGCGCCCCTCTTTCGAAAGTTTCAATCAAGTGCAGCCCCCCCCCCCCCCTCCCCCGGAAAACAATGTCTTACACTGAGTCTGCCGCGAAGAAGGATGGGTGCATTACCCAAGGAAACGAAACGAGCGGTAACACACACACACACACACCCCGTCTCTGACATCACAAGACTCACACAAGACCTGGTCACATGGAATGTCCAAGTGCCAGAAAACTCTGAGAATGACGGTGTAGATGACAGCAGACGGTTGGGGCACCGCATGGAGCGGCAGGGTGGGGATCAAGGCGTCTAAAAAACTAGTCTGACATGCACCTAACAGCACTAGGATATAAAAACCTATCTACGTGGACGCAGTGGCGTAGCGAGGTCGGGTGTCACCCGGTGCGGCACTTAATGGTGTCACCCCCCCCCCCCTCAGAGGCGTAGCGACTCTTCCCGGGGACAAACTTTCAATTCTCGATTTGCACCCACCCCCATCAAACTTTCTATTTGCATCCCCCCCCCTCTCAAATTTTTCTCAATATATTTTACTATTTTTTGCCTTGGTGTCACCCCCCTAAATGGTGTCACCCGGTGCGGTCCGCACCCCCCCCCCTCGCTACGCCACTGCATGGACGTGTTCGTAGAACTCAGCTTAACACCAGTTCAAACAGTACAGAAATAAAAAATTAAATAAATAACTGAATTTAAAAAAAAAATTAACAAATGTTTTTGTAGCAATTAACCGAGTTGTAAAGAGTAAATTGATGCCTAATGCGTACAAGATAACATTAGCAATGATGCGTCGTTTTTCTTTGGTTGTTTTCTTTTAATCACGTGTAAACTTGTCGGCTAGAAAAACATTTAAAAACAAGACAAAATATGTGCTGTTTTATGTTGGCCAACAATAACAACAACAAAATCATCAAAATTAAGATTTGATTAAAAAAAATGAAAAGTAAGCCCGCACATTTCTGCGGCTAAAAATAGACGAGTACCAGCCGAGTGGGGTGGGGTGGGCCAGTGTGACCTGACGGTGGGCCAGTTTGACCCAACTTCACATGAAACGTGTTTTTGTTTCATAGAGAGTCGGTTGTTTACTTTCGTATTCGGTTACAAAATATACAATGTCTTTATTTAACATTCTTATCATAGGTAAACAAGTAATAAAAAAATTTAAGATAATTATTTATGTAGCTGTAGCTGCATTAATTTTAATGTTACATTTATTTAATAAATAACTTATTTAGCGACTGTTAGTCTGGTCAATATTGGAAGTTCCTTTGGCAGTTAGTCATTTCATCATCTGATGTACTCACCACTGACCAACTGATGTACTCACCACTGACCAACTGATGTACTCACCACTGACCAGCTGATGTACTCACCACTGACCAACTGATGTACACACCACTGACCAACTGATGTACTCACCACTGACCAACTGATGTACTCACCACTGACCAACTGATGTACTCACCACTGACCAACTGATGTACTCACCACTGACCAACTGATGTACTCACCACTGATGTACTCACCACTGACCAACTGATGTACTCACCACTGACCAACTGATGTACTCACCACTGACCAACTGATGTACTCACCACTGAACCACTGATGTACTCACCACTGATGTACTAACCACTGACTAGCTGATGTACTCACCACTGACCAACTGATGTACTCACCACTGACCAACTGATGTACTCACCACTGACCAACTGATGTACTCACCACTGACCAACTGATGTACTCACCACTGACCAACTGATGTACTCACCACTGACTAACTGATGTACTCACCACTGATGTACTCACCACTGACCAACTGATGTACTCACCACTGACCAACTGATGTACTCACCACAGACCAACTGATGTACTCACCACTGACCAGCTGAAGTACTGTACTCACCACTGACCAACTGATGTACTCACCACTGATGTACTCACCACTGACCAACTGATGTACTCACCACTGACCTACTGATGTACTCACCACTGACTAACTGATGTACTCACCACTGACCTACTGATGTACTCACCACTGACCAACTGATGAACTCACCACTGACCAACTGATGTACTCACCACTGACCAACTGATGTACTCACCACTGACCAACTGATGTACTCACCACTGACCAACTGATGTACTCACTACTGACCAACTGATGTACTCACCACTGACCAACTGATGTACTCACCACTGACCAACTGATGTACTCACCACTGACCAACTGATGTACTCACCACTGATGTACTCACCACTGACCAACTGATGTACTCACCACTGACCAACTGATGTACTCACCACTGACCAACTGATGTACTCACCACTGATGTACTCACCACTGACCAACTGATGTACTCACCACTGACCAACTGATGTACTCACCACTGACCAGCTGATGTACTCACCACTGACCAACTGATGTACTCACCACTGACCTACTGATGTACTCACCACTGACTAACTGATGTACTCACCACTGACCTACTGATGTACTCACCACTGACCAACTGATGTACTCACCACTGACCAACTGATGTACTCACCACTGACCAACTGATGTACTCACCACTGACCAACTGATGTACTCACTACTGACCAACTGATATACTCACCACTGACCATCGGATGTACTCACCACTGACCTACTGATGTACTCACCACTGACTAACTGATGAACTCACCACTGACCAACTGATGTACTCACCACTGACCAACTGCCTATCGACCATGCAGCCACACATGTCCGACACGCGGGTCCAGCATGGGCAGACGACTGGCAGAAAACATCCGGCACCACCTCAAAGCCCCGGACACACCGTCTGGCACCGTGCACCTCGGCACCCTGGCGGCACGGTCTAGAACAGGACTCAAAGAGCTCCCACCTGGCTCAAAGATTCAAAAGGCGGGTCTTACAGTTGTGAAGCGGTGTCAAGCGGCCCGTTCCCCAGCCCTCCCCTCGAGTGAGGTCTAAACGCTTTTATTTGCATCAAATACATAATAGGTGGTCCTGGGGTGTTTAAATATAATCTCGCTAAAAGGTGGTCCAGGGTTAACCAGTGGGGATGTTCGTTACACGTTGATCAAGTAAGGGAACTCAACGTGTAGAGGTCAAAGGTTAATTAAAAAGATGGATGAAAAGGGATTTGTTGCTACTGTCTATAAACTTCGTCCGCGCGACGCGTTGTTTACATGAGAGGTAGGCTCGGATACGTGCCGTGTGCAAAACTTGACGAAAAACGTGTGCTTGTTACTGACAAGTTTGTCGAGGGTGTAGAGATTATCACGTGATCCAGGGATCAAGTTAACTCGGACCGTGATTTGGGACCAGACGATATCGCAAATCTCTCGTCTGCTACTGAGTTAGCGCCGCATCACGTGTTCAGGTCAGACCTGCTTGTTGGTGTAGTGAGTAAACAGGTGGGCGGACTGGGAGTAGGTCATGACGTCATGTCGACAGGTCACAGGCGGAGATTTTTTAAATTTGATTTATTGCAGGACAATATCAATTTTACAGAGAGAAATGGCATCTGGTGTTTTGTTTGAAACCAATGCCATGCCACGTGACGTTTTGTTTGAGACCGATATGGTTTTCTTTTTTCGGTCAGAGAACAGTTTTTTTTTTCTGTTTAAAATGCCAGCTTGATAAAATGGCGAAAGAATTGTTTTTCTTTCTTCTACCAGCTTGACAAAATGAGACAAATGACAAGAATGACACAAATGACAAGAATGATCGCTTTCTTTTAGTGTTGTGCTGAGATCCTGGGGGCAGTTGTCGGAACTTCTCGTTACAAATCATATCAAACTTTAACAACATTATTGTGAGGTTTTTTTCCACTGACAATTTCAGGCTAAATGGACTTTGGTTTAAGTCAGGTTAGGTCTTCTATAGTTAATGTCAGGTTAGGTGGTCTTTGTTTAATGACCAGGCTCAGGTTAAATGGTGTTTGATTAATGAAAAAATTAAATGGCCTTTGGGTAATGTGAAGTTAAGGGTTCTTGGCTGGAGGTATCTCAAATTTGTTTACTAACAGCCGCCATATTGTTTAGCATCTGAGTGGCACCAGAAGTCAGGTAGATAGACAGGGTTTACAGGTGAACTCTCCTTACACCTGGAGGAGTGGACGGTGTTTACAGGTGATCTCTCCTTACACCTGGAGGAGTGGACTGAGCTTACAGGTGAGCTACCATTACAGAGGAGTGCACGGTATTTACAGGTGAGCTACCCTTACACCTGGAGGAGTGGACTGAGCTTACAGGTGAACTCCTCTTACACCTGGAGAAGTGGACGGTGCTTACAGCTTAGCTACCCTTACACCTGGAGAAGTGGACGGTGCTTACAGCTTAGCTACCCTTACACCTGGAGAAGTGCACTGAACTTACAGATGAGCTCCCCTTACACCTGGTGAATTAGCAGCTGCACATGTTCCGCCCTCTACCTGTATTTTTATGTTCAGCTTGTCTGAATGTCGTTACATGACGTGTAAAGACCGTACAAGATTTGTTTTACATGTGATAAACCTGCGGCCATTGGGCCAACGTCACGTGTGATTTACTGTCAACCTGCAGCCATCAGGTTGTTACGGCCAACCCTCAGGTTGACAGAACGGACCAGAACACCTGCTGACTCAAGTAACGGCAGGTAACAGCGGCTTGTCAAGGGTGATAACTCACACGAAGATAAGCCGGATCAAACTGTCTAAAGCTGACCTAGTACTGACCACAGTGACCAAGACATTAACGCCGTGATGTAATGTGTGTTTGAATCAGGTCCTTGTTTGTCCGTGTCTTGTCACGGATTAACCCAACAGCTTTAGGATGCCGTGTTACATTTGTTAACACAAGCTGTGTCAGTCGGCTTAAAATGCATGTGTTATGCGCATGTGCAAAGTATCCACTACCGGTACGCCATAAATTGAATGGTAGAGATTTCTTTGGGAATACAGTTCACTGAAAGTCTTATCAATCTATTTGCTTATTTTAAAACGGCCTATGTGTCAAAAGGCCTTCGTGCCTACCATTGTTACCATAATTGAAATAAATTGAATAAATCCCAAATAATCAAAGAAAAGTGAATAAATTAAAAAGTGAATAAATTAAATTGAATAAATTGAAATCTCTCAAAAAGCGTAGGGTGCAAGCTTATCATACACATACCTAATTTATTTATTTTTATATATTTTTTTTACTTTTTAAAAATTATTTTTTTTTACATTTATCCACAAGTGAGTAAATAAAACATGAAACAAAGGGGAGTAAGCAAAAGGTTGAAGGACATAATTACCCGTATCTTGTGACTTGACCTCAGTGGTTGTCGTCCTTTGTAGCAGGGCTAGTACCTAAACAAAGAAAGGGAAGTAACTAGAGAGAGTGATTACACAGCACAAATCTTTTATCGTCTCATTTATTTTCATTGCTGGGCGAGTGTGTTAAACCGGCATGTTAACCTGATATGTTAAACCTTGATTGTCGGACTGTTTAACCAAATACCAGTGAACGTTGATAACAAAGTTTAATAGTTCTGCTAGAAAAATCTGCACGCATTACTTTGATAGAATGAATGGAAATCAACGCCTTATCTTTTGTTTCGGTTTCATGGTTAAGGCTAACAGTGTAACCCGGTGCAACTTTTTTAATGATCTACGGTTAAGTAGATATAAAGTGGATAATTTTAAAGAAAGAGATTACCAATATAAATAGATTCTAACTGCTGATGTTTGGATAATACAATCTCAGTATCAGTTTTGTAGACATAATTTTATTATGGGGTTCACATATTTTTAATATATATATATATATATATATATATATATATATATATATATATATATATATATATATATATATATATATATATATATATATATATATATATATATCCTAAGGTAGGCGTATAATCGAGATAAATAATGGAACAGCACGCTACTTTTAATCCTGGTAATTTTTAAAACTAACATCGCTCTTATCCAGTACCTAATTCTACTTGTAACATACTTGTTACGTGACTCTCTGGTTTTAGACTGTGTTGCCTACCATGATGTTGTTAGGGGAGGTAACTGTATTTGTGTTACTTTAATACAGGTTAGGGGAGGTAACTGTATTTGTGTTACTTTAATACAGGTTAGGGGAGGTAACTGTATTTGTGTTACTTTAAATACAGGTTAGGGGAGGTAACTGTATTTGTGTTACTCTAATACAGGTTAGGGGAGGTAACTGTATTTGTGTTACTTTAATACAGGTTAGGGGAGGTAACAGTATTTGTGTTACTTTAATACAGGTTAGGGGAGGTAACTGTATTTGTGTTACTTTAATACAGGTTAGGGGAGGTAACTGTATTTGTGTTACTTTAATTCAGGTTAGGGGAGGTAACTGTATTTGTGTTACTTTAATACTGGTTAGGGGAGGTAACTGTATTTGTGTTGCTTTAATACGGGTTAGGGGAGGTAACTGTATTTGTGTTGCTTTAATACAGGTTAGGGGAGGTAACTGTATTTGTGTTACTTTAATACTGGTTAGGGGAGGTAACTGTATTTGTGTTGCTTTAATACGGGTTAGGGGAGGTAACTGTATTTGTGTTGCTTTAATACGGGTTAGGGGAGGTAACTGTATTTGTGTTGCTTTAATACGGGTTAGGGGAGGTAACTGTATTTGTGTTGCTTTAATACAGGTTAGGGGAGGTTACTAAACTCATGCTGCCCTGGCAATAACTATCATGGAGGTAACTCTACTTGTGCGAACTTACAAATTTAATATTTGTACAAAACTTAACTTAAACCTTACAAGCTGCTCTATGGTTTTGATCTTTAGACTCCTATGTAACGTCTTACAACTGTTGGGTTGTCTCCCCTGAAGGTTGGTAGCCCATGAAAGACAACCCCTGCAACAGGGGGTTGCTGCATCCAGGTCTGATCGGTCAACGGTAACAGGGTGGGTGTAGGGCCAGATGGCTTGACTTTATCTCGTGGAATCTCGCCTGTTTAGGTTGTCACAAGATCTTTAGTACTAACAAAATTTCGGAAGCAGTAGGAATGGTAGCACTGTAGGTCAAGGGGGTTCGAATGACCCCCTCCCCCTCTTACACTAGGAAGAATTAAACGGCCAATGATTATAATTGAGGATAATACATACACTCAGATCAATCACAATGCTAGATGCACCATCTTCTAACTTGGACTAGTGCTTGATGCAACCAGTTTTTATGACCAACCTAGTTAGCTTGGGGCGCCATCTTTGATGTTTCGCTTAAAGACCTAACACCATCTTGAGACTCAACTATCAAACCTGATCACGTGACTGACAGGTAAACATTCAACAGATAAGAGAGTTTTTATTTGAACACCATTTTAACGTTTAACCCTTAGCCTCCCCCAGAGGCGTAGCGACCCTTCCCGGCGCCCGGGGACAAACTTTTCGATTTGCACACCCCTCCCCCCCCCCCCCCAAGATTTCCATTTGCACCCCCCCCCCCTCAAACTTTCGATTTGCACCCCCCTCAACCTTTCAATTTATTTTTCCAACCCATTTTGGCGCCCCCTAAGGTCGGCGCCCGGGGACATATGTCCCCCCCCCAGCCCCCTCCCCTCGCTACGCTACTGGCCTCCCCGCCCCCCCCCCCCCCCACCTCATTAAAACCTGGAATTTGTTACAGTCTATTCATGATATGGTGCAGATTTCCTTTACATTGTACCGTACTTAATCAAATAAATGTAACAAGCGACTGGTATTGATAGGTGTTGCGCTAATTAAATCTGAATGTCTATACCTTATTACCATGTTGCTCATTACCAAGTGATACCACTTGTATTTGACTGGTGCCGGTTGACTGTACCGGCTAGTTGCCGGTTGATTGTACCGGCTAAATGCCGGTTGACTGTATCAGCTAGTTGCCGGTTGATTGTACCGGCTAACTGCCGGTTGATTGTACCGGCTAACTGGCGGTTGACTGTACCGGCTAACTGCCGGTAGACTGTACCGGCTAACTTGGCTGTTGTCGGTAGCGGCTAACTATAACGAACACTAGTTGAGCAAGCTTGTCAGGTTGACCTAGACCTGTATCACGTGACATTAAAGGCGGATGTTGTGAAAATTAAAATTATCAGAAGGATCATCGTGCACTCACCATCAGCGCTAGGGATGGAACACTCGCTCCCCGCCCCGCCATCTGCTTGTACTCATGGGCTCGTCTCCTGCAGCTACTGGATAGAGGAGGGTGTGGATATAATAGGGTGTGGATAGAGGTGGATATGTGGATGTAATAGGGTATGGATATGGGTGGGTGTGGATGTAATAGGGTATGGATATAGGGTGTGGATATAATAGGGTATGGATATAGGTGGGTGTGGATGTAATAGGGTATGGATATAGGTGGGTGTGGATGTAATAGGGTATGGATATAGGTGGGTGTGGATGTAATAGGATATGGATACAGGCGGGTGTGAACATCAAATACACACAAGTAGACCTATAACAGCAAAGACATTGTGGTTTGAGTACGGATACTCGGTGTATTTGGATACTTCAAGGTTTAGAGTCCTGTTTAAACTGTGAGGTTTAGTTAAGACGTTAACTGAGGGTCGTTTGGGTAAACTTAACTCGAGAACTGTCTAAATCCAACTTTTCTAAAATGACTAGCTAAACTTAAGTCTATCTAAAATGACACAAACTTTCATAGAACAAAGAGCAAACGGATGATACTTTCATATTTTAATGACGCAGATGGATGCTATACTTGAAGATGGCTTCCATAGTTTACGATAAAAGAGTTCTAACAGGGGATGCAAGACGTAGCATTAACCAAGGGAGATAAGTCAGTACATAAATCAAGGGATGTAACACGGTTCATACAAGCAAGGGACTTAAGTCAAAAGAAACAAAAAAAGACCAACTCAATACTTACTGAAACCAAGAACCAACAGCACGCAATTTGCTTGTGAGTTTGTAACAAGGCAGCCAATGGAGACAAAATAATGGCTGTAGAGGTTCTGTGTGTGTTCATAAGACGTGTAGTCTGTGTGTTGGTTGTTGTATGTAGTTTGTGTAGGTTGGTGTGTTATCTATGTGGTTTGGTGTGTAAGTGTGAAATTTGTTTAGGTTGTGCGAAATGTGTGTGTGTCGGTGTGTTGGTGTGTCGTTGTGTGACTGAGACCTTATGCCTCACGGACGGGTCTGGAAGAGAGAGAAACATTTCAAGTTAGCCGACCATCAGATCTTGATACTTCAATAAGACACGATTGTAGGATACAAATTCACAGAAAAAGTCACCTGTATAGAGAGGATCGCAGTCATATACATAGAGCTGTCAGTCTATGTATATAGTAGAGTTGTCAGTCTATGTATATAGTAGAGCTGTCAGTCTATGTATATAGTAGAGCTGTCAGTCTATGTATATAGTAGAGCTGTCCGTCTATGTATATAGTAGAGCTGTCAGTCTATACATAAAGTAGAGCTGTCCGTCTATACATAAAGTAGAGCTGTCCGTCTATGTATATAGTAGAGCTGTCCGTCTATGTATATAGTAGAGCTGTCCGTCTATACATAAAGTAGAGCTGTCCGTCTATACATATAGTAGAGCTGTCCGTCTATACATAAAGTAGAGCTGTCCGTCTATGTATATAGTAGAGCTGTCCGTCTATGTATATAGTAGAGCTGTCCGTCTATGTATATAGTAGAGTTGTCCGTCTATGTATATAGTAGAGTTGTCAGTCTATGTATATAGTAAAGCTGTCAGTCTATGCATATAGTAGAGCTGTCCGTCTATGTATATAGTAGAGTTGTCAGTCTATGTATATAGTAAAGCTGTCAGTCTATGCATATAGTAGAGCTGTCCGTCTATGTATATAGTAGAGCTGTCCGTCTATGTATATAGTAGAGCTGTCCGTCTATACATATAGTAGAGCTGTCCGTCTATACATATAGTAGAGCTGTCAGTCTATGTATATAGTAGAGCTGTCCGTCTATGTATATAGTAGAGCTGTCCGTCTATACATATAGTAGAGCTGTCCGTCTATACATATAGTAGAGCTGTCAGTCTATGTATATAGTAGAGCTGTCCGTCTATACATAAAGTAGAGCTGTCCGTCTATGTATATAGTAGAGCTGTCCGTCTATGTATATAGTAGAGCTGTCCGTCTATACATAAAGTAGAGCTGTCCGTCTATACATATAGTAGAGCTGTCCGTCTATACATAAAGTAGAGCTGTCCGTCTATGTATATAGTAGAGCTGTCCGTCTATGTATATAGTAGAGCTGTCCGTCTATGTATATAGTAGAGTTGTCCGTCTATGTATATAGTAGAGTTGTCAGTCTATGTATATAGTAAAGCTGTCAGTCTATGCATATAGTAGAGCTGTCCGTCTATGTATATAGTAGAGTTGTCAGTCTATGTATATAGTAAAGCTGTCAGTCTATGCATATAGTAGAGCTGTCCGTCTATGTATATAGTAGAGCTGTCCGTCTATGTATATAGTAGAGCTGTCCGTCTATACATATAGTAGAGCTGTCCGTCTATACATATAGTAGAGCTGTCAGTCTATGTATATAGTAGAGCTGTCCGTCTATGTATATAGTAGAGCTGTCCGTCTATACATATAGTAGAGCTGTCCGTCTATACATATAGTAGAGCTGTCAGTCTATGTATATAGTAGAGCTGTCCGTCTATACATATAGTAGAGCTGTCAGTATATTCACATAGTAGAGCTGTCAGTCTGATATAATAAAGCTGTTTATCAGGTATCCCAACGATTCAGCCTTATTTTTTTCGTTTTGTTTCAAGCCCTCATTAAATTACCTGCAGCGCTTACCTGTGTTTACACCCCTTTCATTAAATAATTATATTATTCTTTTTTTTTTAATTTAGTTGAAATCACAATAAAATATTTTTACATTATGAAAACATGTTTTACAGTAAAAAAAAAAATTAAAATATTTTAAATTTGAAAGATCTCCCACGACTACTACCTGTCGTGATAATGTTGGTAGTTAAACGTGAGGTCGGGAAATGTTGGTAGTTAAACGTGACGGCGGGAAATGTTGGTAGTTAAACGTGAGGGCGGGAAATGTTGGTAGTTAAACGTGAGGGCGGGAAATGTTGGTAGTTAAACGTGAGGGCGGGAAATGTTGGTAGTTACACGTGAGGGCGGGAAATGTTGGTAGTTCAACGTGAGGGCGGGAAATGTTGGTAGTTACACGTGAGGGCGGGAAATGTTGGTAGTTACACGTGAGGGCGGGAAATGTTGGTAGTTACACGTGAGGGCGGGAAATGTTGGTAGTTACACGTGAGGGCGGGAAATGTTGGTAGTTACACGTGAGGGCGGGAAATGTTGGTAGTTACACGTGAGGGCGGGAAATGTTGGTAGTTACACGTGAGGGCGGGAAATGTTGGTAGTTACACGTGAGGGCGGGAAATGTTGGTAGTTACACGTGAGGGCGGGAAATGTTGGTAGTTCAACGTGAGGGCGGGAAATGTTGGTAGTTAAACGTGAGGGCGGGAAATGTTGGTAGTTACACGTGAGGGCGGGAAATGTTGGTAGTTCAACGTGAGGGCGGGAAATGTTGGTAGTTAAACGTGAGGGCGGGAAATGTTGGTAGTTACACGTGAGGGCGGGAAATGTTGGTAGTTACACGTGAGGGCGGGAAATGTTGGTAGTTCAACGTGAGGGCGGGAAATGTTGGTAGTTCAACGTGAGGGCGGGAAATGTTGGTAGTTCAACGTGAGGGCGGGAAATGTTGGTAGTTCAACGTGAGGGCGGGAAATGTTGGTAGTTCAACGTGAGGGCGGGAAATGTTGGTAGTTCAACGTGAGGGCGGGAAATGTTGGTAGTTCAACGTGAGGGCGGGAAATGTTGGTAGTTCAACGTGAGGGCGGGAAATGTTGGTAGTTCAACGTGAGGGCGGGAAATGTTGGTAGTTCAACGTGAGGGCGGGAAATGTTGGTAGTTCAACGTGAGGGCGGGAAATGTTGGTAGTTCAACGTGAGGGCGGGAAATGTTGGTAGTTCAACGTGAGGGCGGGAAATGTTGGTAGTTCAACGTGAGGGCGGGAAATGTTGGTAGTTCAACGTGAGGGCGGGAAATGTTGGTAGTTCAACGTGAGGGCGGGAAATGTTGGTAGTTCAACGTGAGGGCGGGAAATGTTGGTAGTTCAACGTGAGGGCGGGAAATGTTGGTAGTTCAACGTGAGGGCGGGAAATGTTGGTAGTTCAACGTGAGGGCGGGAAATGTTGGTAGTTCAACGTGAGGGCGGGAAATGTTGGTAGTTAAACGTGAGGGCGGGAAATGTTGGTAGTTCAACGTGAGGGCGGGAAATGTTGGTAGTTCAACGTGAGGGCGGGAAATGTTGGTAGTTCAACGTGAGGGCGGGAAATGTTGGTAGTTAAACGTGAGGGCGGGAAATGTTGGTAGTTCAACGTGAGGGCGGGAAATGTTGGTAGTTAAACGTGAGGGCGGGAAATGTTGGTAGTTCAACGTGAGGGCGGGAAATGTTGGTAGTTACACGTGAGGGCGGGAAATGTTGGTAGTTACACGTGAGGGCGGGAAATGTTGGTAGTTCAACGTGAGGGCGGGAAATGTTGGTAGTTCAACGTGAGGGCGGGAAATGTTGGTAGTTAAACGTGAGGGCGGGAAATGTTGGTAGTTCAACGTGAGGGCGGGAAATGTTGGTAGTTCAACGTGAGGGCGGGAAATGTTGGTAGTTCAACGTGAGGGCGGGAAATGTTGGTAGTTAAACGTGAGGGCGGGAAATGTTGGTAGTTCAACGTGAGGGCGGGAAATGTTGGTAGTTCAACGTGAGGGCGGGAAATGTTGGTAGTTCAACGTGAGGGCGGGAAATGTTGGTAGTTACACGTGAGGGCGGGAAATGTTGGTAGTTACACGTGAGGGCGGGAAATGTTGGTAGTTAAACGTGAGGGCGGGAAATGTTGGTAGTTCAACGTGAGGGCGGGAAATGTTGGTAGTTACACGTGAGGGCGGGAAATGTTGGTAGTTAAACGTGAGGGCGGGAAATGTTGGTAGTTCAACGTGAGGGCGGGAAATGTTGGTAGTTAAACGTGAGGGCGGGAAATGTTGGTAGTTCAACGTGAGGGCGGGAAATGTTGGTAGTTAAACGTGAGGGCGGGAAATGTTGGTAGTTCAACGTGAGGGCGGGAAATGTTGGTAGTTAAACGTGAGGGCGGGAAATGTTGGTAGTTAAACGTGAGGGCGGGAAATGTTGGTAGTTAAACGTGAGGGCGGGAAATGTTGGTAGTTCAACGTGAGGGCGGGAAATGTTGGTAGTTCAACGTGAGGGCGGGAAATGTTGGTAGTTAAACGTGAGGGCGGGAAATGTTGGTAGTTCAACGTGAGGGCGGGAAATGTTGGTAGTTCAACGTGAGGGCGGGAAATGTTGGTAGTTCAACGTGAGGGCGGGAAATGTTGGTAGTTCAACGTGAGGGCGGGAAATGTTGGTAGTTCAACGTGAGGGCGGGAAATGTTGGTAGTTCAACGTGAGGGCGGGAAATGTTGGTAGTTCAACGTGAGGGCGGGAAATGTTGGTAGTTCAACGTGAGGGCGGGAAATGTTGGTAGTTCAACGTGAGGGCGGGAAATGTTGGTAGTTAAACGTGAGGGCGGGAAATGTTGGTAGTTCAACGTGAGGGCGGGAAATGTTGGTAGTTAAACGTGAGGGCGGGAAATGTTGGTAGTTAAACGTGAGGGCGGGAAATGTTGGTAGTTCAACGTGAGGGCGGGAAATGTTGGTAGTTAAACGTGAGGGCGGGAAATGTTGGTAGTTCAACGTGAGGGCGGGAAATGTTGGTAGTTAAACGTGAGGGCGGGAAATGTTGGTAGTTCAACGTGAGGGCGGGAAATGTTGGTAGTTAAACGTGAGGGCGGGAAATGTTGGTAGTTAAACGTGAGGGCGGGAAATGTTGGTAGTTAAACGTGAGGGCGGGAAATGTTGGTAGTTCAACGTGAGGGCGGGAAATGTTGGTAGTTCAACGTGAGGGCGGGAAATGTTGGTAGTTAAACGTGAGGGCGGGAAATGTTGGTAGTTCAACGTGAGGGCGGGAAATGTTGGTAGTTCAACGTGAGGGCGGGAAATGTTGGTAGTTCAACGTGAGGGCGGGAAATGTTGGTAGTTCAACGTGAGGGCGGGAAATGTTGGTAGTTCAACGTGAGGGCGGGAAATGTTGGT